GTCGTAATTTGATTATGTTGATTTTTGCACATTAATTGCATATTTATTGACCCGGCCGACTGCACAATTCGATGCAACAAAACAAAAAATACCATACCATACCATGGCAATGGCCCCTATTGTTTGTTTGAAATGTGTTACATCAACATGGAATTTGTTATGGCAGTTTAACAATTTTAATTGTCAATCAGAATTGACTTATTGACTGCCAGATACATTTTTTGCTCTGATGGCGTGCAAATATGTACATCTTCGGGACTGCTTTCGATAGGGATATATCTTCCATGTATAAAATATAGTTTTATATTCTTTTTATCCGATTCCTTATTTCCTTCCCATGTAGGCGAAAACTAAGAAGCACCAAAAACACAACATCGCAAGCGCCCCGAGACCGACCCGAAGCTCCTACAGCAATGCAGAGTGGGAGAGACAGAACACCCGAAGAGTGGGCAGAACTGGAAGCAGAGCTTCCGAAGTGTGAGCAGAACCCTAAGCTATGCTTCCGAAGAGTGGGCAGAAATTTAAGCTCTGCTTCCGAAGAGTGGGCAGAACCGTAAGCTAAGCCATCGAAGAGTGGGCAGAACCCGAAGCTTAGCGGGCAGAGAGAGGGTTATCTTCAAGTAGGCAGAGCGAAAGGGAATGAAAGCAGATCAGCGTATATTTTTGCCGACGGGAACAGCGCTGCGCTGCAAGCTGTGGAAGGCCAAGAGTTGAAAGGAGAGAAGGAAAGCAGGAAGATAGAAACACTTTACTTTGACGTGGAATCGTAAATAATACCTAAAGTCGGTTATCTTCTAAGTTCTACAATTACAATTATAAATTTCACTCACCATTCATTTATTCCTCTTCCATTTCCATCTGTCCATATTCTTGTACCGCTATTCTTTCTCGGCATTTGTTGTTCCTTTTAAAAAAGACCCGACAAATGGAAAGATTTTTATAGCACTCGCAAAACAAAAAATATTGCACTTCTTTCGCACACTTTTCATATTTATACTCCTTTTTATACCCGATACTCAAAATGAGTATTGGGGTATATTAGATTTGTGGTAAAAGTGGATGTGTGTAACGTCCAGAAGGAATCGTTTCCGACCCCATAAAGTATATATATTCTTGATCAGCATCAATAGCCGAGTCGATTGAGCCATGTCTGTCTGTCCGTCTGTCCGTCTGTCCGTCTGTCCGTCCGTCCGTCTGTCCGTCCCCTTCAGCGCCTAATGCTCAAAGACTATAAGAGCTAGAGCAACGATGTTTTGGATCCAGACTTCTGTGATATGTCACTGCTACAAAAATATTTCAAAACTTTGCCCCGCCCACTTCCGCCCCCACAAAGGGCGAAAATCTGTGGCATCCACAATTTTAAAGATACGAGAAAACCAAAAACGCAGAATCGTAGAGAATGACGATATCTTTTAGACTGCGGAATCTGAATTGGATCGTATTATTATTATAGCCAGCATCAAGGAAACAATTTCATTTTTTCTCGCCCTGTCTCTCTCTAACACACAGGTAGCATAGGCGGCTCTGCTTAGAGTAAAACATTAGCGCCTAGATCTCAGAGACTATAAATTTGGTATCCATACTCCTAATATATCGGACCGAGACGAGTTTGTTTCAAAATTTCGCCACACCCCCTTCCGCCCCCGCAAAGGATGCAAATCTGGGGATATTCACAAATCTCAGAGACTATTATGGCCACAATATTGCAGATTTGAGAAAACTAAAAACGCAGAATCATAGATAATGACCATATCTATCAGATTGCTGAATCTGGATCAGATCAGATCATTTTTATAGCCAAAAGGAACAAATCAATTTGCAGTGGCTACGCAGCGCCAGACGTCACGCACAGACTGATTTTCTGTCTCTCTCGCACGCACTCTTTGTCGTGTCGTTTAATATTAGCGGCGTCTGCCGGAGGAGAGCCATACTGACTTAGTATCGGGTATAACTGTAGAGTTGCGGTGTCCGCAGCAACTCACAACGTTCCCCCTCGTTTTTTGCTACGATCTGCTCCTTTCTGCGCTCTTTTGAACACCACACTCTTTAAACAAAATAAAAACGAGGGGGAACGTTGTGAGTTGCTGCGGACACCGCAACTCTACAGTTATACCCGATACTAAGTCAGTATGGCTCTCCTCCGGCAGACGCCGCTAATATTAAACGACACGACAAAGAGTGCGTGCGAGAGAGACAGAAAATCAGTCTGTGCGTGACGTCTGGCGCTGCGTAGCCACTGCAAATTGATTTGTTCCTTTTGGCTATAAAAATGATCTGATCTGATCCAGATTCAGCAATCTGATAGATATGGTCATTATCTATGATTCTGCGTTTTTAGTTTTCTCAAATCTGCAATATTGTGGCCATAATAGTCTCTGAGATTTGTGAATATCCCCAGATTTGCATCCTTTGCGGGGGCGGAAGGGGGTGTGGCGAAATTTTGAAACAAACTCGTCTCGGTCCGATATATTAGGAGTATGGATACCAAATTTATAGTCTCTGAGATCTAGGCGCTAATGTTTTACTCTAAGCAGAGCCGCCTATGCTACCTGTGTGTTAGAGAGAGACAGGGCGAGAAAAAATGAAATTGTTTCCTTGATGCTGGCTATAATAATAATACGATCCAATTCAGATTCCGCAGTCTAAAAGATATCGTCATTCTCTACGATTCTGCGTTTTTGGTTTTCTCGTATCTTTAAAATTGTGGATGCCACAGATTTTCGCCCTTTGTGGGGGCGGAAGTGGGCGGGGCAAAGTTTTGAAATATTTTTGTAGCAGTGACATATCACAGAAGTCTGGATCCAAAACATCGTTGCTCTAGCTCTTATAGTCTTTGAGCATTAGGCGCTGAAGGGAACGGACAGACGGTCAGACGGACGGACGGACAGACGGACAGACAGACATGGCTCAATCGACTCGGCTATTGATGCTGATCAAGAATATATATACTTTATGGGGTCGGAAACGATTCCTTCTGGACGTTACACACATCCACTTTTACCACAAATCTAATATACCCCAATACTCATTTTGAGTATCGGGTATAAAAACTTCAAACGCATTTCCAATAAGACCACATTAATTAAAAGTGCGAGAACAGAGGCATCACTCTCACGCTGCTTGCATAATTTGCTCAAATGCAGGGCACACTACAAAAGAGAGAGAGAGAGCGTAACCTCGCCAAGATTTGCAAAGCGCCACCTCTCCTACTGTGACACTTTGAGCGAGAGAATTGACGATTTGCGCTCGCTCTTTCTTTTATGCTGCTGGAGTGGGAACACACATTGCAGGACATCAGGTGACCAAACGAAACAAAAAAGAAAAAAAATAAGACGCTGGAACTGAGGGGTGATTTTGTTGGTTTTGAAACATAAAAAAAAATAATTACCGCATCAAATAATATGTTTTTTTATGTATAACTTCACTTTTTGCACTTCTCTGCTTATATCACCTCGCCACGCCTTTTGACGCCTTTTCCGCTCACCTTTTTCGCCTTGCCTTTTGTATGCCATTTTTGTTTGTAGACCGCCTACGCACTTTTTTTTTGCCATTTTCAATGTTTAATCAGTTTACCACAACACTTCACTTCAATTTTTGCTCATATTGCCGCCTTTTCTGCCTGCCGTTCGCCTTGCCTTTTTTGCCTTTTTCGCCTCGCCTTTTGTATGCCATTTTGCCTGGTGGATCGCCTCGCTCTTTTTCTTACACTAAAACACTTTTCTTGTCATTTTCAATCTTTAATTAGTTTTTAATCAGTTCACCACAACACTTCACTTCACTTTCTGAACATCTCTTGCATATATAGCCGCCTTTTTCCTTCGCCGATCGCCTCGCCTCGCCACGCCTTTTTCTTTTCGCCATGCCTTTTGTACGCCATTTTTGCTCGGGGACTGCGGATTTTCTTGCACTGAAACACTAATTTTGGCCATTTTCAATGTTTAATCATTTTACCACAACCCCACACTTCACTGCACAAATACGCGACACTTTCCATTCTTCTTTCCATTTGATTTACCGAATTAACCCGTTTTTCACGGACCGAAACGCGGAGCTGACCTCTGAAGTGGTCGGGGGCGGGGAAAAAACTGCGACGGCGATGCAGATGCGTGACCGGCTTAGCAGACGCTCGTTCCATGCTCTCGTAGCTCATTCCCACGCTCTCTCACCTGCATCTATTCCTAATTGTTCTCTCATTGGAATTGCTCGCTCTGCTCTTCCTCTCTCCCTCTACTAATGCAAAGGCAGATCGAAAGTGTGTGTGGCTGTGGTCACCTGCCGATGTGAGAGAGTGAGGGGGAGTTAGTGGGTGGTCTAGTGGTTCGCTTATTAAATGCTCTCTTGCTGCTGCTCGCTGCTCTCGTTTTCTTATGGCTCTGCTACTGCGAAATGAAAGCGACAGTTTCGGTTCCTCGTCTCCCTCTCCCGTTCATACTGCACGAGTCGAGATCGAATCTTCTTCTTTCTCTCTTGCTTAAAATGAAAGCGAAAGTGTGTGTGGCTGTCGATGTGCGAGTGTTCTGGTGAGGGGGAGTAAGTGGGTTGCAGTGGCCTATTGGCTTGCTCTTGCTGCTTCTCCCAGCAAATTGCTGTCATATTTGACATTCGATACTGCTCTCGTGTTCTTATTGCTCTGCTACTGCAAAATGAAACCGAAAGTTCGGCTCTCCCTTTTCTACTGCCAATGAGGTGATCGAATCTGTCTCTCGTCGTCTCCCTCTCTTGCTTAAAATGAAAGCGAAAGTGTGCGTGGCTGTGGGAGCGAGATGGAGAGTGTTCAAGTGCAGTTTGGGTGCAGCCAAAGACAAAATAACTATCAATATCGTTGTATATTGAATATTTGGCACATATTGTTTAAAAAAACATGGTTTTCCTTGAATATGTTGTCATAGAAAAAGTATTAGGGAGATATATTCCAAAACAACTCCCAGGTCTTGACATTATTGCTATTTTCCTTCCAAAAGTGTGGAAAATACTTCCGAATTGACGAAAAGAACCTGCATATCATCAGCAGAAGTAAGATTAAATGAATTTTCATCCAATATTTCACAATATTTTTAGAAATATTCTCCTGCTTGCAGCTTCAGAAATGTCGCGTTTAACGGCAGGCCTTGATCAGCAGATCACCATCTTCTCGCCATCGGGGGATTTACATCAGATCGACTATGCCAGGAAAGCGGCAGCCTTGGAGAACACCACAGTGGCGCTGAAGACCAAAAACGCAGCAGTTCTGGCCACCCAGAAGCGGATTACCGACAAAACCATCGTGCCGCGGTCGGTGAAGCATTTGTTTCGCATCACCCCAAAGATTGGCTGCTGCATGACAGGCCGCATCGGCGACTCCCACTTTCAGGTGCGGCGGTCCCGCAACGAGGCCAGCAAATTCAGATACACCTGCGGCTACGATGTCACAGCCAAGGCGCTGTGCGAACGCATGGCGGACATCAATCAGGTGTACTCGCAGCATCCCGAAATCCGTCCGCTCGGCTGCAGCATGATTCTGATCGAGTACGACGAAAAGCTGGGCCCCACGCTCCACATGACGGATCCCGGGGCCGACTGCAACAGCTACAAGGGCTGTGGCCTGGGTCCACAGGCTGACCAGGCGGAGGCGTTCTTGGCGGCCCACTTGAAGGGGGGTACCCGTAATATGTCCGAGGAGAAGGCCATACAGCTGGCCCTCGAATGCCTGGGCACTGTCTTGGATATTCGCTTCGAGCCGCTGCACTTGGAGGTGGGCATTGTGAGCAAGGCTCATCCAGAATTTCGGATGCTGGACGAAATGGAGATTGCAGAGCAGCTGAGTAATATGCTAAGATCTTCACAGGGCTCTTAAGAAACCCCGCACCCAAAGACATTACTACATTAGACATTACTTCTACTCTACACAAGACATAACATCTACATGTAGTAGACTCAAGCAAAAGCTCCCTGGAGAGCGCGACTCCAGCATAAGGCTTGAAGGGCCAAACGAGAGCCCTCAACCGAGGGGCTCTACCGCATGACGAGTGACATATGTAAAGTACATATACATCTACATGCAATACCTATCGAATAATCAACTATATCTCAAAATATGGCTTTAAAATTGTATTTTATTCTGTTGCTCCCCATATTTTGGGTTCGTTTATAGCTTTTTATGCGCATATCCTTGCTAGAAAGTCAGTCCCACTCAACCGAGGGGCTCTACCGCATGACGAATGTCGGATGTAAGCTACATAGACATTTAAAATAACATTCTACATGCAATACCTATCGAAAATGATCGAAAAACATATAAATTACAATCATATCACATCTTTTGGGTTCGCAGTTTCCATGGGGCCATTCCCAGCCATCAACCGAGCGGCCGTACTGCATGACGCCTGTAAGGATGAGCCTTTGCATTAGTCTCATGCTTTATTCCCCTTAAATTGCTTTTGTTTATTATATTTAAAGTCTAACCACAAACTTTTCCAACAAATTTCCACTCAAATAAGCCTTGTATTTGTAAAGGAATTATTAATTGCCTGGAGAGAGAGAGAGAGGGAGATAGGAGGACTCAATCGAGTTGATTTGCTGGCATAAAAAGGCTTAAACGTCTATAAATTTGCTCTCAGTGTGGCCTCTGAGGCATGTGCTTTGTTGTGGCCAATAGATCCCACTGGCTTTGGGATTTCTTTCCTTGGAAAATTATATGCATATACCGCAAGCTTTTGCTGTGGCTTCTTTTGCCAAATTGAGCGAGCAGGCAGCTCCCCCATGCATCAATCTCAATCAATGAAACCCGAACTTTTGGATGCCACAAAAGATACTCGACTCCCCAATGCACATGCTGCAGCAGCAGATGCAGAGACCGAACGTGTCTCAATAACAAAATTAACAGAAATTGCAACATATTGTGCGAGTGTGCCCCATGCCCCATGCCCCGTGCCCCGTGCCCCGTGCGCCCTTGCGGTCTGCTCGTCCTGCAATCAAATGCCAAAAGAGAAAAATGAGCACAGTACGTGAAAGGCCAACAACTGTGTCAAATTGATATTAAAAAGGAGTCAAGATGTGGCAGCAGGAGCCCAAGAAAAACCCCCCTCCCCCAAATCTAGTATCTCTATGACTAGACCGTTCCAGAAATACCAAAAAATATGAGAAAAAAGCTGGAATCTGCTTAATTATTGAAACATTTGAGGGTGCCACACCCACGCACCTTCCAATCCGTCACAGCTTGTGGTTCGTGCCACAAAAAAAAAGCTTAATGAAGCGACACACACAAGAAGGAACCAAAAAAATATGTTTGGAAGGAGGTCACAGTCTTTGGCAACTGTTGCAACCCCCAGAGAACTCGTGGCAGGTCCGAGCAGCGACTGGGACACACACACCCGCCACATGTGACCAAGAGTTTTGTGTGGCTGAAATTGGCATTGGTTGGGAGGCCATTGAATATGATAGAAATAGAAAATACGGAGTACGTGCAAAAATTTCAACGCTTGATTAAATTTCGAGTCACAGTCGAGAAGATTGCCAAGGAATCGAATGGGCATGGCCCAACAAGTGTTGGGTCCAACTTGAAAGACAATCAGGCAGCAATTTAAAACCATTTTCACTGTGGCCAGAACCCACCCAGTCCCCCACCCAGTCCCCAATCCCCCATCCGGATGAATGCCACCTGCTGGCCGTGCGGCAGTAACTTCTGCCTGATTAGTTTTGATTTGGTTATTTGGCATTACGAAATATGCTTGCCCTTTTTTCTCAGAATTCTCTCCCTTCTTCGCTTTTTTTTTTGGTTTGGGATAAACTAATTCCCAGTCATTCGGTGACGCAGCTGTATGCTGAATCCCGACCAGAAGGACAGGCCGGGAGTGGGTAGACATGTGCTTCAAGTTTTAATATAAACTTGTTCATTGTGCCATATGCGACGGAAGTTTTGTCCGAAGGTTAACTAAATAAACTCATCTCTTAACTGCAAGGAATGGGGTAGAACAATTGGGGTATGAAAATTGGCCAAGGAAAGCCGAATGAAAAGTTATCTACTAATCTTTATGGATTCTAACATAAATTTCCTCATAAACCCTTTCTGTAGCCTATATTCAACCATCGATTCTTAATCGATAACATTATCAAGTGTCCCTTTTTGCAAAAATTAGTTCTTTTAAGCAGTTTTAAGTCTTTAATAATCAATCGAAAGCCAACAATTTATCGATAATTAATCGATAACATAATTTAATTGTATATTTAACATTTTCGATCATTTTAAAAGTCGAAAAGTTAATCTCACATTAAAACTAATATCGATTACTAATCGATAACATTGTAAATTGTGGCTTCTTCGATAATTTCATATTTTAGATCATTTTTAAAGTCCAATAGTTAATCTATCATTTGAAATAATTTCGATTATTAATCGATAAAAGAATAAAGTGTCGATATTTTTAAAAATTATCTTTTTCAAGCCGTTTTAAGACACCAGTCGTTAATCGAAAGCCAAAAGTACATCGATAATTAATCGATAATTTAATTCAACTGCAGTTTTTTCGATAATTGAACATTTTCGATCTTTTTAAGTCCAACAGTTAATCCATAATTACAAATATTATCGATTACTAATCGATAACATGGTAAATTGTGGCTTATTAGATAGTTCCACATTTTCGGGATGTTTAAAGAATTGAATAATCATTCGATAATTAAAAATGCTCGATAGCATTCGAAATTATGGCTTATTGAGCAATTTATTATTCTTAAATATTTATGCGATAATCATTCGATGTTAATCGAACTTCCATCGATAGTTTACCATAAACGATAGCCCTTCTTCCACACTGGATTAACTCTACAACCCGATAAATCATTCGATAAGCCACAAAACCAATACCATTTCGTACTCCCATCGTGCCTTATGCCGCATACAATATTGTTGTATAAAAATATAGATAAATGAACAAACTATAGATTACTTTTGCCCCACGTATGCACGTGCTTATCAATCCTGTATTTGTATCTGTATCTATTTCCAGGAGCCACACATGGCGCATACTCAATATCAGTTAGTGGCACGTTTCAATGCCGAAAAGCAAAAGCTTCAAATTGCTGCCACTGCCACTGCCGCCCCAAAGCCAACAAATCATTAACCCTCTTGCCCCCATTGTGGGAGGCGATTAAGACATTTAAGTGCAGGTCACAGGGGAATGGTGGTGAGGGGGTACAGAGCAGTGGCACCTCTATAATTTGACAGAAAAAAACTATGGGGGGGGAACGATCGTTTGTCGCCGCGTGCTGAAGTTTGCAGAATGTGGGGGGGGGAGGCATTACACTTCCGCTAAATGTCGCTATTATTTAACAATTTTGTTTATGTATGCTTTTCATGCAGGCCAGGCCCTCAGACCAGACCCCGGCAGCGCAGCGCAGCGCATACCATTGCCATGTGAAATATAATTTATGGTTTCCACTGATTCCCCCCCCCCCCCCCCCCCCCCCCCCTAGGGCCCAGGCAAACTAAATAGTCGTCCTCGTCCTCGTGGACATAGTTGAAGGAGGGTTCGCCAGTGGCAAAAATATGAAGGAAAACAATTACAGCTGACTTAACACTTCCGTTACTTGTTAGAAAAGCCGCACACGTTTACAACTCGAACTCTTGGTCGTCCTACTCCAGACACAGGTAGCATCGGGGGGTCGGGGGTCGTGGGGGCGTGGGCGACACATCAACGCTGACGTTGGACGGGGACCTCAGCCGTCGAGGCGGTGCCAAAAACGCACTTTTCTTCCAAGCACTTGAAATTGTAATTTAACACGTACAAAAATATATACGTTTTTGTATTTTTCCCTTCTTTTTTTTCGTAGGAGTGTCCCTGCTTTCTGGCCCTGGTTACGGGAGGGTTTTTAGCCACATTTCTGGCTGGTTCTGGTTCAACATGACCTGCTTTAACTGCTCACAGGGTGCTTTAACTAGTAGTTAACTCGACAATTGTATACCCTTCAAGTATTAAACTAAAAGATTAACTTGTCCTTCATGGCTAAGGCTTAAAATCAGTCCAAGGGCAGCTTCTTTATGAAAGACTCAGGAGAAACTTAATCTCTGGTAATACGAGTCATGCGGCAGTGCCTCTCAGTCGATTTGATTAAGCTGGAGCTAAAAATCAGTCCAAGGGTAGCATCTTTATGGAAGGTTATAGCCGAAAAGAAGCACTCTATCTGGCAAAACCTATTCTCTGTGATTACGCGTCATGCAGCAGCGCCACTCGGTCGATTCAATTGCGTTTCTGCCTGGGAAACTCTCTACCCTCTTTAAATGCTTCTGTTTGGTGTGGCTTAAGGCCCTTGCCCTTCAAATTATTTTAAATAATAGGGTATTTAATCCTAGTTATTTTTATACCCGATACTCAAAATGACTCTGTCTGTCCGTCCGTCCGTCTGTCCGTCTGTCCGTCTGTCCGTCCGTCCGTCTGTCCGTCCCCTTCAGCGCCTAATGCTCAAAGACTATAAGAGCTAGAGCAACGATGTTTTGGATCCAGACTTATGTGATATGTCACTGCTCCAAAAATATTTCAAAACTTTGCCCCGCCCACTTCCGCCCCCACAAAGGGCGAAAATCTGTGGCATCCACAATTTCGACGATACGAGAAAACTAAAAACGCAGAATCGTAGAAGATGACTATATCTTCTAGAGTGCAATCTGAACCAGATCGTATAATTATTACAGCCAGAATCACGAAAACAATTTCACTCCTTCTCGCTCTGTCTCACTCTAACACACAGGTTTCATAGTCGGTTTTGCCAATTGCAAAGTATGAGTTCAAGGATCTCAGAACCCATAAGAGCTAGAGCAACCAAATTTGGTATCCACACTCCTATGATATCGGACCTTGACCGTTTTGTGTCAAAATTTCGTCCCACCCCCATCCGCCCCCACAAAGGACGAAAATCTGTTGCATCCACAATATTGCAGATTCGAGAAAACGCAGAATCATAGAGAATGACTATATCTATCCGGTTGCTGAATTTGGATCAGATCAGATCATTTTTATAGCCAAAAGGAACAAATCAATTTGCAGTGGCTACGCAGCGCCCGACGTCACGCTCAGACTGATTTTCTGTCTCTCTCGCACGCACTCTTTGTCGTGTCGTTTAATATTAGCGGCGTCTGCCGGAGGAGAGCTATACTGACTTAGTATCGGGTATAACTGTAGAGTTGCGGTGTCCGCAGCAACTCTAAACGTTCCCCCTCGTTTTTTAATATATATAAGAAAAATATTTTTAAAGTACAAATTCTCCTGATAAATGAAATTCTCATTTTTCGTCTATAATTTCTCTGAAGCACCAAGCATCAGCAACCAAACGCAGAGATCCACTTTGTAAATCCGCTAGAAAAAAGATCCATTAAAAATATCAAACCATAACAAAAGATCTTTTAATTTTTTTGGTAATAGTTTGATATGCTTCAAAAAATATTAATAAAAATACCCCCGATATAACAAGAATTTTAAGAGAATTTTAGGAGCATTTCAAGAGAATTTTATGAGCATTTTGAGAGCACTTTATGACCTTTTTATGAGCATATCAAACCATCTCTTCCCACAGATTTTTCGCATAAAAAAAAAGAATTTTCAATCAACAACAAATACATCCCACAGGGTACATAGAAATTATCCTTGAACCTTCAGTTTAAGTTTTTTTTGTAATTATATTAACATTTTATTTGCTTGTTCGCTTAAGTAAATGAAATTTTAATTAGTTTTACCACAAAACTAAAAACATAATAAAAAAAATCTGTATACAAAAATATGTGTGTTTTCTTTTTTGAGAATTATAAGCACCTTAAAGAAAATCCTTTTTCGTATTTTTTGTAATTGCATTTTGTGCGCTTAAGACTAAAAGATGAGATTGCTTTCGAACGATACAAAAGTTCCATCAATCAACATATTCAATCCGTGCTTAAGTATTTAAATCCTAAAAAAATGTATAAATTAAGTGGGAGAAATAAATTATATCATGGTTGTGGGGGCATCGTGTAAAAAACTTAAGCGTATAAAATTGAGTGCTTTGAGAAGATCAGTATCTTTGGATAGACATAAAAAGTATTCGATAAATAGGCGGGCTGGATGTTTTGAGAAATGAGTGATTAAATTCCCGTGAAAGTCTTTCGTTTATTTGGCTGTCAGAGAGAGAAAGGGCGGTCCAAAGACAGACTTTTGTTCTAAAAATTCTTTGATTGTAGGAAGTTTTTAGAGCTTAACTAAATAAATCATTTTTAATTTTTAATTCATTTAAAAATTTGTTCATAGACATTTTCGTATGTTTATTTGTTAATTTGTTGGCTAATTTGTATGCTATGGGTTTTCTATCTATTTTTTGTGCTTTAAATATTTCAAACTGTTGGCATTTTGAAGCTCAGGCAAATAATTTGAACAAAATCGTGAGAAATCTTTAGCTAATTTGTAATTTCCATTAAATTCTATGATTTGTGACATTTTTGTTTAAATATTTAACATATTTCTCTAAAATATGTGAACAAATTTATGTTTTTTATTAATATTCTCCACATTTTGTAGTCTTTTTATGATTTTTTACTTAGGGTCTCTCCCTTTAAACTTTAAAGTATATTTGTTTTGGCTCCAAAAGACACATAGATTTTAGATACATTGGTTTATCTAATGATTGGAACAACTATTTAGATACAAAAGTGGAACAAGATCAAATTATTTGCCTCGTTTCAAAAAAAAATGCTAACAAAAGCGTACAACAAATTTACACCAAAACAGATCAAATTCTTTTCATTCATTCATTTTTGTGTGCCTCCATTTTGGTGTAAATTCAAGCCTTAAATTAAATTGTGCGCACACATTGCCGATTGTTCTGTCTATGATATATATATTCGATATACCTATTGATATTCGATAACACTATTAAAGTAAACCTGAAGCTCTAAAATCTAGGCAAAGCTTGGACGTAACTGGGTGTCGCAGAGGAAGGCGTCGGCTCACAGCTCGCTCACGTTGTCGTTGTCTCCGCGGGGGCATTGGCCCGACCAAACAGCTCTTCATAGGATGGCGCTGCAAAGAAGGCAAAGGCATGGAGGATTACTTGTCCAAAAATATCAGCTGGCCACTTACGCAACTCGTGTACGCCGGGCGGCTGGCGTGGCTGCAGAAACGATGCAGACGATGATGATGCCGTTGTGGATGGCAATTGACTGTACCCGCTGACCGGGGCGGGGGCCACTGGGGGCACGGGCTGGGGTGGTGGCGGCGGCGTCATCGCCAGCAGCGAGTACTGGGGCGACTCTGGCAGCGGATAGGTTGGCAAATGCGGTGGCGGATACGATTGCACCATCATCGGGCTGGACGAATAAGGCATATACGGGACATTGGAGCTGCGCAGACTGGCCCTGGCCGAGGGGCTGCCATACTGCGAGCCGTACTGCGAGCCATACTGCGAGGATTGTGACCCGCCCGACGTGTACGACAGCTCCACACCGCCCACAGCGGGACTGAGCGTGGCCGTCGACGAATCGGAGGTGGTGGAGTTGAGGGAGCTGCATTCGCTGAACTGCGAGGAACGCGATGGCGAGCCAATCGAAGAGTCCAGCGTGCGAATCACCTGCCAGGCTCCTCCGGTGGGTGCGGGCTCGAACGGATTGCCCATCGTTCCGTTGGCATCGGGTCCGGGCGGTCCGTTCGCCGGTCTGGGTGGGGGCGTGGGACGCATCGAGCCCAGACGGTTCGACGCGTCCTGCGAGTACACCTTGAAGGGCAGATTTAGCACCAGATTCTTGAAGAATCCCCGCAGCACTGCCTCCACACGCAGCTCGTAGACAATGGTGATCACCCCGCTCAGTTGATCGTCAGTCGGTTGGGCTCCCTCCGGCATGAGGAGCTCGTGGGCGAAGCTCCGTTCGCTCTTCTTCTGCACGGAGCCCGTCTCCTTGTTGGCAATGGCAATGCACTCGACCTTCTGGACGCGCAGCGGCACATGGCTGTAGTATGTCACATACTGGAGCACACTGAAGCGCAGCTTCTCCACATTCGTGGTGCTGTTGTTCATGACGGTGACGCAGATGCGTAGCGGCTCGCCCCGCACTGCAAAGTCCTCAGGCAGCAGAGCCACCATCGTGATGGGGCGCGTGCCGAACAGACTGATCGTCTTGGTTATCTGCTTCTCCAGGGGACTGGACACGGTGCGTTGCATGGCCTGCAGCGGAATGTTCTTGACCACCGTAAAGCCGATATTGTGGCGCTCATCGAATGTCCAGGGCCGCTGGATGAGGACACGCATCTTGTACTTGATGCTGCCGTAGCTGCCCTTGAAGCTGGAGGGCAGCTGCCGGCCCAGGGCCACCTTGAAGATGAACGTATGCTCGCCGGCGGAGAGCTCCAGGCCGCGCGGCTCAAAGTCCGGCAGAGGCGTCTCGCTGTGCTCGTATATCTCCTTGCTGGTGTAGAACAGACTACGCGTGTACTCATTGTTGTTTGAGTTCTTGCGCAGTATCTCCATCCACTTGCATTTTCCTTTCCCAGTGACTTGGATTTTAATGGCTGCAAAAAAAAAACAGACGAAAAACAGAATTCAAATATTTGAAACACCAAACGCCGTCTATGGGCAATCGATGGTACCACTGAGTGTACCATTCGATAGTATCGATTGCTGTTTGGTGGGATTTCCACTCTTTTGTGCGACTTGTGGTCTTTTCTTGGGACTTGCTCTCTTTTTCTAAGTAAAATATCCTCTTTTCGTGGAGGGATTTTTCCTCGCAGCAATGTTCCTGCATTCATTTGCGTTTTATGCTGCTGGCAACATTCAGTTTGTATGAACCAGACACACTTATCGAAAAATTAGCAAGAATGTAACCCTGGGGGAGTGGATATTATAGAATTGTGGAACTGTTCGTCATCCCAGGCTCTAAGTAGTCAGTCTCTGTTTTAAAGCTCTTCTTACAGAGACTAAGAATAGGTATAGGAATCGAGATGTATATACAGAAAACAGATCAAATACATTAATATGTCAAAAGCATGAGAATCTGTGAAATACATTATTAATTACGATTCAATTACGGCTTGTAAAACGGTATTTTAATATTGAGTTCACGAAATAGGGTATACAAATGTCGGATAAAATTATGTGCGCAGGGCGGAATATCAAAACCGAGGAACAGGATGGAACTTGAACGATTCGTCAGTATATTTACGGTATATTTTGATAATGAGACTGTATATTTTGGTATATTCTGAGGGTCAGTCGGTATTCTATCGGCAAATCCACGGTCACACTGCTCTCCTTACTCGTGCGTGCTTTTTTTTGCCAGCGGCGGCGCACAAAAATATTTAATTTTTAATAAGTAAACACGATTTCAGACAAATAAATTGTGTTTAAAGCAAGGTAATAAACTAGACCTCATATTATGCATTCGATTTAACTAATTTTTGTGCAGCTGCGGCAGGCGTAAAGCCGTCATGCCGGGTGCTCAATATTTTTTTCGCAAGGGCTAATACTTTTTTTTGCGTGTCGTTTTTTTTCTTGCAGAGGACGCCCATTGTGAAAATTTTTTCGGGGGCTGGGCCACTCAACAGACAAAATGAATATTGAATATATCGGCAAGGCGATCAGCTACCATGGCCAGCCGCTGCAAAAGATTTGGGACGATGAGCGTGGCAGCGAGGAGTTGCGCCAGATGGGCCTCACCCAAATGAACTTCAGTGTGTACCTGGAGCGACAGAAGTATTTTACATTTCAGGAGCGTGCCAAGCGCCTCAAAGTGCATCAGTTCTTGACCAGAAAGGCGACGGAGCTGTACGATCGTGGTCTGGTTGCCAATGTTATGGAGGATTCTGTGGTGGCAATCGGTAGGAGATCTCCTTTTTAGCCAAATCAAATCAGTTTCTTATGAGTTTTTGTTGTGTTTTAGGTAGCGAATGCCTTGTTCAGCAGCCCCCATACGAGTTCTTCACACAACTCAAGGACAAACGTAAAGCCTGGACATATCGCTTGGATGTCCTCAAACAGGGCAGCATTATCTATGCCTCGGTCATGAGTTTGCCCCGTTTCAATCGTTTGATGGTTAAGCCCCTGTGCTCTGAAGAACCACTGCACGTGTATCTGGCAGATATACCCATAAAGGTAGGTAGGGGAGTTTCTTCCTTCCATCCAAAAGCTAATCTCTGCTGCTGTCTGTAGGCCACCATAATGCAAACAAATTGGGGGCCTCTGCCACTGGACAAACAGGGAAATCCGCGTCAATTCGGTCCCAACGACATACTCCGCTGCGAGATCTGTCAAATCTCATCGGATGCCGAACGTCTGGCCCTGAATATGATTGGCATGTACCAGAAATCGCCAGATCTGAAGCTCGGGCTCTGCGACATCAAGGATCTGCCCAAATACTATCGGTAGAGATCGAAACCTCCCCCACCAAGCAACCAATTTGTAAACCCTCTCCTTTGTTTTAGGCAAATCCATAATCTGGAGCATCCTTCATCCGTGCACTATGAGGATATGTTGCGTTTTGCGCCGGAATTCGAGAATCCCAACTATGATTTACTCTTTCAAGTGAATGGCCTGCAGCCCAACGAGAACTTTTCAATGATGGGACACCTGAAGTTTGGCTACCCGGAGGCGGAATATGCCACAGAGCTGCGACAGAAGCAGGCCTCCCAGTGGGCATTTCGGTAAGTGTTTGTTTGTGGAGTTTTAGAGGAGCTTTTTTCTAAGGATTAGTGGCGACAAAATTGTGTATTCCATTCCCACCATTTGCATACCGTTCCGTTTCGTTTCGTTTCCCCATCGATCGCAAAACCGAATCATCCAATCAGCTCCGTGGCTGATGGCATTGAGCACTTTAAGAATGGCCAGCAAGTTGAGGCCTTTCAGTGCCTGAATAAGGCATTGAACATTGATCCGCGCAATGTTGAGGGCTTGGTGGCGCGCGGTGCCCTCTACGCGAATCGTGGCAGCTTCCTAAAGGGTCTGCAAGACTTCGAGAAGGCCCTAAGCTTGAATAAGTACCATGTGAATGCGCGTATATACATGTGCGAGACCCTGGTGGCACTTGGACGTAGCTACGAAGAGAAGAACTGCATACCCGAAGCGGTCAAGGCCTACAATGATTGCCTGAATCTATTGCCCCAGCATGCGGAGGCACGTCTCTCGTTGGATGCTCTCCAGCGCTGCTCAAATCTGCCTCCAGGAGTCGTAGTCCCACCCCCAGTCCCAGTCGGAAATGCTGTTGGCGATGGTAAGCATACACTGAACAGCACCGATGTTGTCGATTTGGCCCAAACATCGGACGAGTCCAGCTCCTCCAGTGGCGGCAGTGTTGAAAGTGATAGCGAGGATCCAAGTAAGTACACGAAAGGGAGACTGCTCCTCCTCCTCCAGCTGCTGTTCCTTTTTCGGTCTAACCTATTTCCCATTTTAGCTGGAAGAGCACGTGACAACAGCAGCAGCGGCACACATCAGCCACAGTTTGGCGGCGGTGGCGGTGACGACAAGCTGGCCATCATCGATGCCGAAAAGGCCAACGAATTCAAGCTGGACGAAGACGAGACCATCTCCAATGTCCGGCGACTGCTGCGCGAGGCCAACAAGCACAAAAAGGCCAAAAAGAAGGGTAAAAAGAAAAAGGATAAAAAGGAAAAGAAATCGAAATCAAGGTCCAGAAACAACAGCATCGCCGGGGACGATGATGATGTGGATCCCATCGAACTGCTCAAAAAGATTGACATTAAAGAGGCCTTCAGGTGAGTGTCCCGTACTTTCTCCCCAGCTAGAAATATTTCAAAAATTTCTCCCTGCATCTACCCCTAAACTGCTAGTCAGGACACGTATGTACTTAGAAATTAATGAATCTGTGGATTATCTGCCGTGCAGTCCCTATTTATGAAATCTTTTGTCTTTTAGGCTAATGCAAAATGTCGGCAGCGATGCCGAACTGAAAGCCAGGCTACGGGAGTACTTGCAAAAGGGTGGCGGACACAATGCCTCACCGCCGCCACCACCACCGTCGATGGCACGCAAACCGGAACCGTTTGGAGGCGGCAACAAAAGGACAAGCTACGATGACATGGGACCCAGCACTTCACGGCATGCGCATGCAGCAGCTTCTGCTTTTACCTCGAATGCTGCAGCTGCTGGTGCAAGTACCAGCGTACAGGTGGCACAGCAGGTGGCAGCCAGATTCCAGGATCAAAAGAAACCACTACAGCAGGCACAGGTGCAGCCGACGCCCAGGTTCTCCTTCCAAATCAAGCGGCCCCTGCAAATGGACAAGTTCGGATTGCTGCGTCTGGCCGTACCGGATCCGCAGAAGACTATTGGGCGCAGCAGCAGCTCGCGTAGTCGGAGCCGCAGCCGGAGTCGCTCGAACAGGAGACGCAGCGAGCGGCGTCGCAGCACATCGAGGCGCAGAAGCCGTCGCAATTCGCGTTCCCGTTCACACAGCCCATTGCGACGTACCAGAACCAGGTCGCGGTCGAGGAGGCGTCGTTCTATATCGCGTTCCCGCAGTCGCTCCCGATCGCCACGACGATTTGGTGGCCGATTTGGACGTGGTCGACGCTTCGAGCGACGCTCTCGCTCACGTTCCGTTCACCGGCGGCGTACGCCGTCGCCCTTTGTGCCGCGCCGCACACCATCACCATTTGTGCCTCGGCGCACACCCTCGCCAGCGTCACGTTTCCGACGCACTCGGTCCCGCAGCCGGTCGCGCAGCTACAGTCCGCGTCGCTTTCAATCTCGCTTTATGCCACGGGGACGTGGCCGCGGACGCGGCAGGAGCCAGAATCGATACTCGTGGTTTAACCATGACCAGCGGCCGAATACTCGGGCCTCGGAATCGAATGGACGTAGTGTTAGTCCGGCCAAAAAGGACGACGGTCTTGATTCTAAAAAGAGATCCGATGATCCGAAAAGGAGCGCCGATGGTCACAAAAAGAATGCAAATGATCCCACCATCGAAGAGGTGGACGAAATGATCAAAAATGCACAAAAGGAACGCAAACAGGGACTCATCGAGGCGACATCCAAGGAGGTCAAAGATTAAACAAAAGCAGCGTTAAGTTATATTTTAGTTCTTATGCATATTTGATTTTGATATTCAAAAACTTGTAATATGTTCGTTCTCCTTAACCAATTATTGGACACCAGAAGCCGACTACTCAATAAAGAAGCTTTCGAAGCAAAACTCTTCTAGCATGTCCTGCATGCTGTGTTAACCCAACAAATTTCATTTCATTTAAATTGCTTAATTTATTTTTGGTACTTTCCATTCAGCGCGACAGAACCCGAGTCCAACAAAAATGCCGTGAGCTTCCAGCAGTTACCGATAGTTGCGCTCCCACCCACACTCACACACATGCAAATGCCAGTGCAGAAGAGAGAGAGCAGCTGAGAGTGGCTCTCTCTCTCTCTCTCTGTTCTCAACTGCAGTTGTCTTTGTATGGGTTTGGTTGAGGTCATGGTATACCGAAAAGAAGGTAAGGCAGTCCCACAAAGCTTTCTCCATTCGAAAGTCTAGGTAGAGCGGCTACCAACCCTCCATTGAATATACCCTGCACCCGACCGACCGGCTGTCAGTTTAAAGAAATCATACGAGCAGCCGTACGAAACGTTGGAGCACTTGGGGGAGGGGTATGGGGGGATAGAAGCTAAACAACATGAGGGAGACTAAAACACACAGCCAAGATAAAGTTTCATATCATTTTCGCCAGCCGGCAGCAGTGGAACACGCGACGGGGAGCAGCATTGGTGTTTGTTGTTCGCACATTATTTAAATATTTGAATGCGACGACGACCAGTTATCGCAATTAGTACGAGGGCGAAAATTGCTAATCGAATAAATCAAAACTAATAATAAAACCCAAGTGCCGTGTAAGTGTGACAAATATGCATACATATGCATAAATTCTTCAAGTTTCTTTACATAACAAAACAAAGAACAACAACAAACACACACATAAAAGTGCAAGGTGTTGCAAAAAATGCAGAAAACATATGCGACAAAGTGCAGGCGCAATAAAAAAAAAAAAAAGAAAAAATTAAGGAAACACGCGCCGACATTGAAACGTTTTTTTTTAAATAATTTTCCGCTTGGACTTTGAACGATAAGCGCGACCAAAAACAACAACAAACATCTGCTATGAGAAAGACAAAGAATATAAAATCCAGAAGCCACGCTTGCTCTTATTCGTATTCTTACTCTTACTCTTCGTTTAGTTGTTGTTGTTGCTAGTGTTTGCTCTTCGGGGTGCGGTACACTTGTTGCCATGCGGCCTATGGCCACGCATATCCCGAATGATTTGTGGTGTGCGTAGTGAAGTGGAATAAAACCGGCATTTATCGCAAATTTGTGTTGAGAAAAAGTTTTGCACTACAATTAAAGCAGCTATTATTACAATCCCACGTATCTACACTTTTATCAATAATTTTCCTGTGTTTAGTCATAAAAATACTACATAAACTATTAAATATTTAACCTTCACTATTGAGTATCGGAATACATGTTTTTGTTGAGTGCCTTGATAATCTAATCAGCAAAACTTACTGGCCCATAAAGAACGTTTGAAATGGCCAACAAGTGCTTCCTATTTTTGGTTCTTCGAGTACTCTATCCGTTTATCAGTTACTAACCCCAACACAAAACACACTTGCACCTCATGTGAACTCTCTTTTCCATCTATTTTCAGCAGAAATAGATCAGAAACAAAGCTATTATGTATTCGAAAATCTTTCGTGCTGTGATAATCGGAGCCCCCGGCTCCGGCAAGGGAACCATTTCCGAACGTATTGTTAAAACCTTTGGATTCCTGCACATCTCCTCGGGCGATATATTGCGCCAGAACATTATCAATAATACGGATCTGGGCAAGAAGGCGCAACAGTTCATCAACTCTGGCCAACTGGTGCCCGATGAGATAGTCACAAAGACGATGCTGGCCCGCATCCGAGAGGTGGGCAACAAGTCGTACATTCTGGATGGTTTCCCACGCAACAGTGCCCAGGCGGATATTCTGTCCGCACGGGAGCAAATCGATGCCGTTATCAATCTGAACATTCCACACGATGTAATCATTTGCCGTGTCAAGAATCGTTGGATTCACGCACCATCCGGCCGAGTGTACAACATTGGCTTCGATGATCCCAAGGTGCCTGGAAAGGATGATGTGACGGGCGAGCCGTTGACCCAGCGTGAGGACGACAAGCCCGAGGTGGTGGCCAAACGTTTGCAGTTATATGACGAGCTGATGAGTCCGGTTTTGGCCTGGTATGCGGAACGTGGTCTGGTCACCAGTTTCAAGGGGCGTGAGACCAAAGAGATTTGGCCACGCGTCGAACGCTTCCTCAAGGATAAGGTCCAAGGATAGGCGGCCAAACCGGTTAATTCCGAATAGAATTTCTTCAATTGTGCACAAATCAATGATAAGAACAATGTGTTCAATTAAGCCCAAACATATTTACGAGTGTATGTATATGTATGCATCTACAATATGTGTGGAACAGGATGGAGAAGGAGCACGAGTCTAATTAAATGTAATTGCGAAGCCTTACAATGTGAAAGCGATACGAACTATGCGTCTAACTAAATGTACTTCTTTCTTTTGTATTTGTATTTGTATTTGTAGCCAGCGACACCCGAGTATACAAAACATTCCCCCTCATAAAAAGTGTATTGTTCCCCCCCATTTTTGTATAAACATCTTTTTGTACTCGTTTTTGTACTATGTGCTCTGATAATAAATCGCGTTTTGTTATACTGTGCGCTGATAATTGAACTTTCGACTATTCTACTAACTACGCTTAATAGTATGTGGAGTCCACATTTGTGGCTTCCCTCCAAATGACACACAAATGCCCTTCACTTTGCTGCGTAGCGCACTCAAACTTGAAAGCTGCCAGAGGGGATGGTGTGGATGGTGTGGCGCTCCCTTTTGGCGAGTACCAACTCTCTCGCACACAGTCAAGTCAGCTGCTACACGCGTACACCTGCACACACAGAGGCAAATCACAACAGAGAGCCAAACGAACTACACTGGCGGGCCGAAACACTAGGCAGTGTCGGTCTTATTCATATTAAGATTTTACTAGTAATTTTCTTTAATCACATAATTCATAGACTTTTAAACAACATTCAAATGGTATCATGCAAAAATAAGTTTATTTACTAAGGTAGTTGATGGAAATGTCGTAGATGAACCCACTCTTTTTTTTTAGCCTTGACTGTGCTGAGAGCGCGCGCCGCTCTGATTGCCCTCAGAGACCAGGCTTGCGATTCACCCATTATTACGGCATTTTTGGCACACAAACAGACGGAGGTAACAAGAACAACGCTTGCGCTTCTCTCTCTTTCTCTCGCCTTGGGGCCTAATGAAATGCGTTTGCCATTTCCTGAAACAAATGCTACCGCTAAACGAGAGCAAATGCCCGGAGTGCAACAGCAATGGAATGCTTATCGATGAATGAAACGCAAGTGCAAAAGGCAATTGAACGAATTTTCGTGCGAAAGGGGAAGAGTGCGAGAGCGATATCATCATGGTCAAGCGGCAGCAGTAGTACACTGTAAAATGGCTGCTGTGCTTTGCGAAGTTCTTTGTTAATGCCAATGGGGCCATAACGAAAGTCCACTACAACTGCCGTCCCGCGCGAACAATGGATTCGAACCAAATGACAAACCAAAGCCCTGAGTCATTGCGACTTCTATAATTCAAGCTCGGCTTGTTCCCAGAAACCAACTATGACTTACCGCGAATCTTCGTCCGCTTGTTCACATTCATCCAGATCTCTCCGCGTATGATGTCGCCGGCAAAGTAGATCCCGTCGGGATTGTCCAGTGTGATACGTAACCGTTCACTTTCCATTCTGACAATTCGATGGCTGCTCTCATTAAACACTTATCCAAAAATAATTTCGTCATTAAAATGCCGCAACATGGAAACGCAGCAACTGCACCGCACTGCAGCACACCTTCACACCCGCGCCGCACCCTTGGTCTATATATATATATATATGCAGAATTACTACAACTACAACGATTTGGACGATTTACTACATACAACCGCGGAAGAGAGCTTTCCGATTTGGCCACTTCTTTGTCAATTTACTAACTATTTCACGCTAATTTGACACAACCAGGGCGGGCCCCGAGCTGTCCACAGATGCGACTACACACACACTCGGCCCTGTGTAATTGAATTCGATTAAAGGTGCCATAAATGGTTAAATAATTAAATTTCTTATAAACGAGGTTCTAGCTTGCCAATTATTGTTTTTGTTTCAATTTTGGTTCCTTACCAACACTATAGTAAAGTCACGAACTTAGCCCACTAAAGCCCCCTCTATATAAATAATTCAACTACCTGAGGAAAATGTCGGGAGAATATTAACGATTAGAAATTCTTCTTGTAAAACCACGTTATCTTTCACCTGAACTGCACTAACATTATTAAATTGATTGATTATTTTCGGTGACAAATTGAAATACCCCCTTGGCTTATAATAGGTTAATCGTTCTCCGTCATGGATTGAAAACCATATTCCTCGATTATAATATTCCGTCAAATATTACTATCTAGATAGATCTTTCAGCTCTGCCCACATAATTGTATCCAACTAATGAAACTATTGTCTACTTGACTGGTTTGTTTTAAATATTTGCTTGTCTTGGATTTTGCCTAAAAAAGGTTTTTACGAAAAAGGTCCAACAAATAGAACGAGAGAAAAGTCGTTCCTATTCCTCAATTTTGATATTCCATTAAATAATGCTGACTAACTAAAACCTTTAGCTCTGCCCACATAATTTTAGGCCATTAATGAATAAGTTTTCCACAAGATTAACTACTTTTAAGTTCTCTAATTTATTGTATTTAGACTAAAACAAGGTTTAAGCAAAAAAGGTCAACAACAAAACAGCGGCAACGTAAATGAGAATGAAAAGCGCCGTAAGTGAGTATGAAATTTCAAGTCAACTGGAGTTTGTGCATAGATATACCCCATTCCGTTAATATAACATATAAAGATACTGTTTTCCCATCTGATTTTAAACGTAATTAATAAAGAAATTGAAAGAAATTAGACATATGTATGTATGTATTAATGCATATGTGTAGGGTCTTGTAAATATCGAGACCCCGATACCTATTCATGGTCTCTGTAAGTAAGCCATGAACTGTAATATTTCGTTGAGATAGCTTTACAACATATCCTGCAATAATAGACTCCTGGGATGACAAACATTCCTCAATTCTATAATATCCTTTTCACCAGGGTATGCTCATTTCTTCAAAGAAAAACAGCTGTTGACTGGCGCTGCCATCCAGCAGTTGGCGCTAAAAGTCTTTCATTTGAATTTTGTTTATGACTTTAACAATTTAAAACGAAGAACCTTGTTTTATTTGTCGTTATACATATATCATACATTTTAAAAATACAAATACATTTATTGTTGTGCTTCCCCAGTTTATGTTCTGCGCAGTCCAGCGTTTATCTCTCTCCTGCAAGCACATATACACACGCTTGAAATCAGCTTTTGCTGTCAGTATCAGAATTTTGCAGCTCGCGTTCGGTCCATCGCGTGGTGTGTGGTGTTCGTTATTTGTGGAGCCCCGGAGCCGCTCGCTTCCCCTGCTGTTGCTGTTGCTTGCTGCCTTGCTTTTATCAATAAAAACCAAACCTTTGTCATTTGCAAATATCCTGGCACTGTCTGATACCGTCGCTAAGGCGTTGCCTCTCCGCGAAACTTCGATAAGATGAGCAGCAAAGTAACCTTTGCCTTTGATAATAACCCCTTGGGGGTATATCACGCAGGCCAGGTGATATCCGGAACTGCTGAGCTCACAACGGACCGTCCAAAAACCATTCGCTGTAAGTTCTGGGGCCCCCTCTCCTACTCCCCAACTCCAAGACGTAGTTCTCTGATGGCCGATGGCTGGTGGTAGGAAGCACTCTTTGTCCATGACGTCATGGTTATATGCTGCTGGCCATCCAATTTCGTTGCGTATGGGAACTGGGAACTGGGGACTGTGCTGTGGGCTTCATTAGTAGTCGCGTCGTCATTTATATTGTTTCTATTGTTGTTGTATCTTTTGTGTATTGCTGCCGGCAGATTTTGATTGTTAGTGTGTATATCCGAGCGGCTGCCTGGCTGACTGGCTTGCGATATCTGATAGCCGCTGGAAAAACTAGTTTGGGGCTTGAAATTACGGGCGGCTGGTTATATTATTATTAGGTATTTGATTCGGTTTACTGGACGCCGACACTGGAGTCGTTTTTATGCAGAAAAAGACAAAATAAACAGAACGCTTGGAATGACTGCAAAGTGATTGTAGTCGGATATATTCTATGTTTATTTCTGAGTATTTCTTATCGCTTAAATATCCAGAGTGAAAAGTCTGCAGCGACACAAAGCCGACCGAGGGGCGATGCCGCATGACGCATGATGGTGTCCATGCAGAAGAGTTAGGAAAGTATTAGGATATCATTTGATAGAGGTAATCATAATGCCAGCATTCTTATACTTCAATCATATCGTATACACCCATCTAATGTTTTTTGATTATTTGAATTATTCGTGTATATAGTATAGCCAGCGTATAATCCATCAAAAAATTAATTCCAAAGAGGCCAAGGCATGTCAAATGCAATTAAATGCAATGCATAATTGTAGATTACGAAATGTTACAGTGAAAACTCAGCCAGAGAAAATATATTTCCAAGGAAATCTTTGTAGTTTTTGTAGACCAAAAAACCTCTCAAACTTTGAGTTTCCGCCCCAGAAGAGTGCCCTCTGTATACCCATACTCGTAGTACATCCGAAATTAATTCAATTACAGCGATATTTATAACAATAAATGGATATGGGGAGACGCGCTGGCAGGAGAGTGTGGAGAAGCCCGGCGATGATGGCAAGACTACAAAATCAATGGAGACGCACACCAGTACAGAGATCTACTATAGCAGCGATAAGTATGTGTACGGCCAGAGCGGTGGCTCACAGCTGGAGCTGCCGAAGGGCAAGTTTGTGTTTCCCTTTCACACGACCATCCCACCGAATGCCCCAACCTCCTTCAATGGCAGCCACGGACAGATCAAGCATGAGGTGACCCTCACCATAGATCGATCGGTGCGCTACAATAATATCTTCAAGCAGTGCTTCACTGTGATACTGCCACACGATTTGAACACCAAGAGGGAGAATGCGGTAGGTGCATCCAGATCAGATCATATCATATCAGTCTCCAATGCCATTCCATTGATCCTTTTAGCAACCCCTGAAACGCATTGAGGAGAAGTCCTTCTGGTGGGGCTCCATTTTTGGTGCCAACAAGCCGATGGTCATGGATGTGAGCACCTCGTACAGTGGGTATGTGCCCGGCCAGAAGATACACTTTCATCTGGTGCTCGACAATCAGTCGGACGTCCAATGCCAGGATGTCAAAGTGCGCCTCCTCAAGAATGTCACATATCGGGCCAATTCCACGAACAAGGAGCAGCTGAAATCCACCGAATCCCGCATTGCGGATATGCACTGCGGCGAGGTGGTGAAACACAACAAGGCCCAGTTCGATGAGTATCTCCTGGTGCCCCCCACAACACCCACCACGGTGGGGGAACGGGACCCCATACGCGTTAGCTATACGCTTCGGTTTATAGCCAAAACCTTTCGTCTTCATGGCGGCGGGGATCTGGTGGTGGACTTTCCAGTGACCATCGGCACATTGCCGCTACTGGGCAGTGGCGAGGACAAGGGACCCGGGCAGACTGCGTCCTCCAATGGCAGTGTCAACAGTTATCCTGGTAGGTGGAAGGCTCCCAGATGATATTTCCTCTCAGTATAACATTTCATTCTTCTCTTGTTAGGTGCCCCGATCTTCCAGGAGGATGTGAGCGACGAACAGTTCGAGTCCAGCACATTCAAGCCACGTTATCCGGTGTACACGTTCGGCCAGCCTGGAAATGCCGCCAATGGAGCTCCTGCAGCTACCCCCAGTCTGTATCCAAGGGCTGAAGACACACCGCCAGTGGCTCCTCTACCATATGCGCCCAATCCAGTAACGCCAGTGGCCAAGCCCACAGCCCCAGGCCCTCAAAAGATACCCCCATATCCGACCAACTCGCCCGCACCGGTGCCGGCGGCTGCTCCTGGTGGAGGTCACTTTGAAGTTCTTGGCTTTAGCATACCGCCCGGGTATCAGCCAACGCCCAGTGCACCAGGTGCTGCTCCCCCGGCTGGCATTGGCTGGAAGTAGAACCCCTATATTTACACGATTTTGTATTATATTTTTTAAGCCATTTTTCAAATAAAACTGAAAGCGCGCCTGCAGTGGCAGCGCTGTGCCCTTGACACTGCTCCGGTCTATCGGTATAGCGTTGCCAGACCTAACGAAAGTGGACAGCGCCGAGCAGCTGATGGCGTGCACTTGACGACGTAATTAGAGGCCGAACTTTTTGTTGTTTTTAAAAGAAACCAGTTTTAAAGTGGGAAGCGGGCCAAATATGAGCAACGGAGTGCGACATAACTGCATCTACAGCTCATACCAAACTATTACACGCTCTCTCGGAAACACACACGCGCGCACAGACAAGCCGATCGAACGAATGCCCCGCGAAAAGAAAGTTTTGACGCAATCCACGGGCCTTTGCTTGTAATGAAGAAGCTTCGCCGCCGAATCATTTACTGCTGCACTCTCCCCGTGTACGGACGCTGTGGACGGTTGTCGCCACATTTTTGGAGATACTTAACGGTAAGACATTCCCAGTGCCCAGTGGCCAGTTCCCGCAGTCATTATGCATTCCCAATATGCAACAGAGAGCCTTTTGTCTCTTTATCTTGGCAGCATCAACAACAGCTAGCAACAACGACGGACAACAGACGGGCGACGAACAACGACGAAAAGTGAAATCGCTGATAAACCCAGATACCCCCTGGCTTGCTGGTCAGCCGCCAGTCACTCACTCAAATCAATGAATGAATAGTTGAGGAAGCGCTAGAGTCAGAGTTGGAGCATGGACAAATTGGTGCGCAGGCGAGCATAGCCCCCAGAAAAACAGACAACAAGTAAATGACATCCGTGCGGCTCCACTGGGCATGACTCTAGTAAGTTTTTGAGCCCCCCCTACCCCAATCATCTTCCCATCTTTTGCAATCATAATGTTGATGAGTGTGTAAACAGGCCGCACCTTTGAATAGTTTTGAATAGCCAAAAACATGAAGAAAACTACTAATAATGCTGTTGGTTTTGTTTGTGATTTACAGAAATGCCATTGAGGAGTCAGTCGCAGCAATAAAAGTGAAATCCGCACGAGTAAACACGCACACACACTCACACACCCAGGCACAAACACAGCCGCCACCGCAGACAGGCAGCGAGCAGGCATTCATTTTCGTATTGGTCAACGTAACGAAATGGCGGTAACAACAGGCACCACCACAACCAGCCCCTCGCCAAGTCCGCGACGCAGGCATAGTACGCGCGAGCAACTGCATCAGATTGTGGCTGGAGGCCTGTCGGCGGCCATAACCCGTTCCACCTGCCAACCTCTGGACGTGCTAAAGATACGCTTTCAGCTGCAGGTAGAGCCGCTGGGCAAGAGCCAGTCCACGGGCACACGACAGGCATCGAAATACATCTCCATTACACAGGCGGTGAAGACGATATACCGCGAGGAGGGAGTGCTGGCCTTCTGGAAGGGCCACAATCCCGCCCAGGTGCTGTCCATTATGTACGGGATCTGTCAGTTCTGGACATATGAACAGCTCAGTCTTCAGGCCAATCAGACGCACTACCTCAAGGATCACCAGCACTTGTCGAATTTCCTGTGCGGCGCCGCTGCTGGCGGTGCTGCGGTTATCATCTCCACGCCGCTGGATGTTATACGAACGCGTCTGATTGCCCAGGACACCAGCAAGGGCTATAGGAATGCCACGCGTGCCGTTTCCGCCATTGTGCACCAGGAGGGACCACGCGGCATGTACCGTGGACTCTCGTCGGCCCTGCTACAGATTGCCCCGCTGATGGGCACCAACTTTATGGCGTATCGCCTGTTCAGCGACTGGGCTTGTGTCTTCTTCGAGGTGGGGGATCGCAGCAAGCTGCCCACCTGGACGCTCCTCGCACTGGGCGCCTCATCGGGTATGCTGTCCAAGACGATTGTGTATCCCTTCGATCTGATCAAGAAACGCCTGCAGATCCAGGGCTTCGAGTCGAATCGACAGACGTTTGGCCAGACGCTGCAGTGCCACGGCGTTTGGGATTGTTTACGGCTGACCGTGCGTCAAGAGGGCGTTCGCGGGCTGTACAAGGGCGTGGCCCCCACACTGCTGAAGTCAAGCCTGACGACGGCCTTGTATTTTAGCATTTACGACAAGCTCAAGCAAGTGCGGTTCTAGATGTTAATGGCAACCAACTGGGGTTAATGGTTCTACCTATTGTAGTGGCACTTCTGGTAGACAGAATATATACAGTGTATTTTCTATTTTTATATATATATTTACCACACCATGTAAATAATATTAAGCATAGCTTAGCTGTTAATTAGTTTTCGGTTCTGCGTGCGGGTTTTTCTAATGATAACATAATCATTAGATTGACTTAAGCAATGGGTAGAGACACAAAATACAACATGCAGCGCACCAGTTAAGAAACTATTATTTCTAGTTTTAGGTTGAAGCGGTTTTTTTTATCCACAAGTTCCCCGAATCTACAGCTTTATTGTTTATGTGGGACGCATAGTTATTTAATTATCTTTATCATATTTTCATATTCAGGGACACAAATAATAAATTAAAACGCACCATGATATTTTTATCTTAAGAGATAAAGACTCTAGCCGTTATTTATTTTGAATTTCAAATTGCGATTTATCGATATCCCGATATGCTTAGTGATGGCCTGAAACAACAGCTGAAAAGCTCCCGCAGAGCTTTTTACTGTTGTGAAATTCGCCGACAAATTTGGTAATATAAACGATCTCCGTTTCTTGTTCTATTATCAGATAACAAGTAACAACAAATGGCACTTGTCCAAACCTGCGCCATCGACAACAATTCCGATGCCTGGCTGATATGGATGTTTCGAGAGGCGAGCTCCAAAGGAGAAAAACTCAGCTTGGATCCCCCGCGAATCGTGGCATTTCACTTCTTTGATAATCGACACAGAGATGATGTGACTACCAAAAAATGGGCGAAATTAATGGCCAAACTGGCCCATGAATATGCCGGTCGCATCATGTTCGGGATGCGGGACATGAAAAGCATCGGCAATTGGCATCCGAATCTCAGACCGAATGACTTTGGCGGCTATCGGCCAGGTTTGCCGCCTCTTATCTATGGGGAGGATAAGAAGCACAATGTCTATGAGATGAACAGGTTGGTGAACTACAGGAATATGAAGGACTTTTGCGAGAAACTGCTGCAGGATCAGCTCTTCCAGGCGGTTGTTCTGGCCCCCGTTGCCGAATTGGATTCACCTCCTCAAAATTACTTTGACTTGGAAGATCACAAGGACAGGGATTACTTTGTGATGTTGTACGATCCTGCCTGCTACCACTGGCCCATGCAGTTGAAAATGCTGCGGAAACTTTCCCTTCTGCTGGCCAACGAAACTATCTCTGTGATGATCATCAATAAGTCGCACAACTATTTGGGCGTGGTATTCAACAAGTTTTCGAAGGCGGTCAACTGTCATGGGGCCACAATATTCAGCACTTCACGTCTGGATGGCTGGGACTTTAAGATGCGCCCGAGACAGGACAGTACACGCGAATATTTGCGCTACATTGCCCAGAGCAGGCAGCCAGAGTTGTTGGGCTACGATGCCAATGGCGAGCCCAAAGCACCCGAGGCGGCATTGGCTTACATTGAATGTCTATTTGCTGAAAGCAGTTGACGGATTACCATTGCCATAAAGTCTATGTTTATCTATATATTCTAGTATGTATATTCAAAATTTAACTGGATTGTTGGCATCTCTGGGCTGGACGTGTATCATGACTTTGATAGCACCGCCACGGCCATAGCGGGAGGTCTCGAAGGCCTTCGCCGTCTCGGTGATGTCAAAGTGATGTGTTACCAGACGCTTGACATTCACTTTACCGGATGCCACCAGATCCAGAGCGGCCGAGTAGCTGTAAGCGCATAATAAAACTCAATTTATAATGTGGAAAAAATGTCATCATAGCACTCACTCGTTGCAGTAGCGGAAGACGCCACGTATGTCGACCTCTCGTGACAGGGCATTGATCAAGGGCAGCTTGATCTCCGGTGCTCCCATACCCACAATAACGACAACACCGCCGGAACGTGTAGCCTGCACAAAAGAGGGTCAGAGAGTTACTTTCATCCACAGCAAAACCCTTTCATTGAGAGCTTACGGAGATTGCCAGGCGAGCACTGCTCTCTGCCCCACAACAGTCGACGGCCTTGTCAGGGGCCCCGCTCATGGTACAATGGACTCTTTTGACAATATCCTCGGCACTCTGATTCCTATCCAGCAACAGGGTGTGGGTGGCGCCCAGCTCTTTGGCCACATCCAGACGCTGCTGCACCAAATCTGTGATCAAAATCTCAGAAGCTCCCAAGGCTTGAGCGGCCTAGGTGAGGGAAAATATTAAATACAAGTCCACTTAATGAAACTAATGGGTTTCCTACCAGCAGAGTGACCAGACCGATTTGTCTTTTTGTCCAGGCGTGAACACCCACCGAGAGTGGTTCCAGCAGGGCGCCCTCCTCCATGCTGACATGATCCGGGAGTTTGAAGCAAAAGTCCGCCGCATGCTTGTAGAAGCGTGTAAGGTTGCCATCGTACGGAGCGTGGCACAGAACACCATGTCGGCACACAGGTTGTACTTTCCCCGCTTGCAGTGGTCGCAGTAGCGACAGGGAACGCCCGGTTCGATGGCCACACGATCGCCCCCGTTGCCATCTTTTCTGTAAATTTGTCGTCTCTGTTGCTGTTCCTCGTTCGACAGCACTCTGTGGGCTCTGATGTTGAATTGTGAACCGAACGCGGTATTCCGAGACATTTTACACTCTCCCCTGGCGCCGGCGTGCTGCTCAGAGAAGCAATTACTTAGTTGCTCTACAGTCGTGTGCATACGAATAGCAACAGTTGACAAACCATTTTCTAGCAAGCATCTCTATAAAGCTTAGTGTACAAAATATGCCTTGGTTGTGTGTACCTCTATCATGTTGTTTGTTGATTGTGAAAATAATGCAAATATTCAAAACATCTGGTTTATTGGGTTTTGGCTTGCTAAATAGTTTTTATTGGCTGTATTTCTCCGGGGGCTAATTCATTTCAATAAGTATTTGTTTGATATTCGGGTTCCGTTTTTTACTTAACATATAGAATTTCTATTTTAAAAACGTTTACTTATATGTATATTTATGCGTGTATACGTGTGCCGTTTACTATATATTCTTGTTTTTTTTGTATGTAGAAATAAAATATTGTTGGCTTAAAACTAAGAAAAAGTTTCCATCACCTCAACTGCGCAGTTAATTTGTTTTGTTTCTCTATTATTTGTAGGTGTGTGGTTTTTTTTAAGATAAATGCATTGTTCTGTAAATGCAATGAGAGTTTATAAATATTTTAGATTTGGCTTTGAGTTTTGAAAGTAAAGAAATGCTGTATTTTGTAGGGCTAGTGCCCCAGTTAACGGTTTCTTTCGGCCATAACCTTGCAAATTTTTCGGAAATAGATATGGATGGAATCCGATTACTACCAAAGGATATTACATATTGAACGACAGACATTTTTTACTTTCCACGAGACGTCTACAAATTTTTTTAAAGAAATTGGCAAAATTGAACATTTTGGGTTAGGTATATCCACCCTATCGACACGAATCAAAAATCATGGGAATGGTCGTACTATTATCCTTTCAATTCATTAAATTTGTGGATTGTGGGGTTGCAGATGCCACCAAAAAAATAATGAAAGTGCGCAAAGGCATTTTTAGAATTTAAAAAGAGATTTTGGGGGTATTGCTAAATCTAAGTATAACAAAGTGATCTATATACCTATACATATATACCTAATTTTTGTCTCGCGGAAAGTACATTCAAAGGTTTTCATTTTATCGCCCAGGGTAATCTTTCTATATCATTATAAAGATAATATATCGACTCTGTAATTATATTGTTTTTGTACTAAAAATAGTAACTTAATTCGAAAAAGCGCTGCTTTTTAATGGGGGTGGGGAAATTAGTTTACAGTTCGTTAAACACGAGATAATAGTAGTTATAGTTATTGTTAGTAAATTTTGTAAATCAATTAACACCTGTTCAGAATGACACTAACCATTTTTTTGAGCAATTCATTCGGAAAACAATTAATTATATTCTATATGGGAGATTATTGTTGATTTGCAAGGCTATATGGCACCGAAAACTTGAGAGGTTGTTGTTTGTTTCTGTGCGAGTGTTAGATGTTTTTCTAGTAACTTAAATGCTAGTCTCTATAGGGCTTGGATTATGTTTGGTTTAGCTTTGATATCTATGGGGTATGTGGTGTATATACCTATATATTCCTGTTCTCTAAAGCTGCAATTGCATTCAAGTAAAAGGAACAAATTTGGCCAAAGGAAACTTAAGTTTGTGTCTCGTACGAGTAGATTTTCAGAGATATATCATTTCTTTTTACGTTTTTTATATCACACTCATGGTCGAAATATCGAAACCGCCGCCGCTGGTCCAGTAAATCCTATAAATTAAACCGTTTACTGGCACCCCTCATTCGACGATTTCCCCCTCTACATGGATAACTCTTGGCGGGGCTTGTTTATGTGCAGACGCTGTGGATCCTGCGGCGCCACACAGATATCGGTTAGTATGACCACCTCGTAGGGACTACAGTCGGGCATGTGGAGGAATCCACACAGCCAGCCATAGAATCCCTTCTCAATGTCCGTGATGTCGTTCACCCAGCTGCTGTACTGCAGACTCAACTGCCGGAAACCGGAGTAAAGGCCCAAGCCAAAGGTGCACAGAACTATGGCCAGCGGATAGGCCAAGAAGAGCAGCGGTGTGACGAAGATCTTGTGCAGATACGACTTCTCCTCACAGTAATAGTTGAACATGTTGTACCAGGTGAGGGTGCCAATGTAGAAGGAGTACACCGCCGAAATAATCGTTACAAACGGCAGGCAGAGCAGAGAGATGAGGAAGATGTGCAGCCCGATGGCACAGCTGCAGGTGCAGCAGAGGCTGCGACCCTTCTGCGACTCATTGGCCATGGCATGGGCATTCAGTTGCTCCAGCTCCTCGCGACTTATGTTGATCTGCAGATCAATGGACTGGCCCTTCTTCCTGCCGCGCTTGATGGTGCCCGTCATGGTCAGATAGTTGCCGCCGTCGGCTGCCTTCCGTGCCTGATACCGCTCCAGGCTATGATCGTACGTATTCAGGACACTGGTCTCCCCCGATTCCAGATCCTCGTAGTTGGCTATGTCCGGCGATGAGCGTTGATTCCGTGCCGTCACGGGCAGATCTGCGGTCCGTATGTTGACCCTCTTCTTCGACGACGACCGATTGCTGAGGCAATCGTGGCTCTTGCTTATTTTGGCGTCCAGGCTGCTCTCCGAGTAGCAGCAGCTGCTGGGCGTCACTGTGCTGCTCTCATGCCGCTGCGATGTGGACTTGGTGCCCTGTGAGATCGACTCGAAGTTCTGCAGCTCATTGATGTTGGTCGTAGAGCGGGCCGACTTATTGCTATGCTGCGTGGAGCTGGCCGAGTGGGTGCTGGCAATCGTATCCTGGGCATTCGGCACACCCAACTCCCCCGGCAGCTGTGGCAGTGGCTGCTTGTTCTTGATAATCAACTTAGACTTTAGCAGCTCCTCCTCGAGGGTGGGATTCGAGGGCGACAGCTTGGGTCGATTTTGCTAGAGTTCAAACAGACAGCAGATATAGGAGGAGCATAGTCGCATCATCATTTTTGGACACTCACCTGCACACTGACTATATGGTCCACATAGTTTTGCTTCTTGGCCTCAGTTTTTGTTTGTTGACGCTTTCGCGGTGGTATGAAAACAGGGCGTTCCTTTGTCCCTGTGCTCATATCGACGGACAGGCCGCTCGAACCTTTGCCCACCATTTTGTGTCGCCTTTCCTTTGAGTTTCGTGTTAGCACAAAAACTACATATTTTTCTTGCACAATTTCCCCAACATGCTGCTCGTTTTTTACTGTTTCTATTACGCCCAACACTCACACACACACACACGCACGCACAAAATGCACTTCCGGCCGTTGTCTTGTCCGTTTGCCTGTGCTTTTATCGATTTTTCCTGGTCATCGTTCGGCGGCGGCACGTCCTTGTGCTGATTTTGCGTTCATTGGCGTTTGGGGGCGGTGCTGCTGCTGCTGCTGCTTTCTCTGTTGGCGACGTGCATTTTTGGGCTGGGCGGACAATGTTTACAAAAAACTGGCGCCTGCGCTCAAAGTGTTTTGGCAAACTGCAATTTCTGCAAACAACAACAGCTGTTTGGTAAGGATTTAATGGCTGCCTCTGAAAAAGGCGGTTCATGGGGAGTGTACATGTGTATGTATGTGGTCCTATGGGGGGAGAGGTTGGCGAGGTTGAAGCGTTTAATACATAGATAGAAAAAAAAATTATATAGCTGGAAAAACATTATTACGAAATGAAATTCTGAAAGAAACTAAAAACTATTCTTATATTGGCTTTAGTTCAAAAAAATAAAGGGTTCAAAAGTAGAGAAAGTACATTCATTTTAAATTCAAAAGTATCGGACTGAAAGCTTTTTAAGCTTTTTAGATTTTACAACAAAATATTAACTTGTAAGAAAAACTGAATTAACAAACTATAATGAAATTTAAAATTTCAATTTAATGTACTTGCACATTTTTAAATCAGTGCTGCCTTAATTTGTATACCATTTTCATCTGACGATCACCTACGTTTTTTGCTTTGACCTTTTTTTCTTAGGGCTTCTTTAAGACACAATCCAATAAAACAGAGTCCCTAGAATTAATCAATCTTGTAGAAAATTGATTTATCTATTGTATAAAATTATGTGTTCACAGCTGAGGGTCCTAGCTAGCTATAAATATAAGACCGAATATCAAAACTGAGGAATGAAATCATATTAATCATGGACACGAACGATTAACCCATTATCGACCAGTGGGTATTAAAATACTTTCTACGAAAATTATGCATCTTTAAGAATTGTATTGTAGTTCAGGTGAAAAATATTGCGGTAACAAATGGATCTACAAGAAGAGTTTACATGCAGTATTATGAACCGCTGTGTAACTCAAGCTTTTAACCTGTTTAACTAGAGGGGGGGTTAAGTGGGCTAAATTCAGTCGCAATGACAACACTAACGATCAACCGGTGCCGGCCCCGCCGCCTCTTATTCTGCACCAGGCCTGGAACTTATCGCAAAAACTATTTCCACTACCAAGATGTCCGCAACAGAAGGCAAAGTACGTACCCAGAATATTAATTAGAACAGCAACAAAAAGCCAGATACTAAACGAACATGCACTACACCTCCGCAGGTAATTAAATGCAAAGCTGCAGTGGCATGGGAGGCGAAGAAGCCGCTGATCATTGAGGATATCGAGGTGGCGCCCCCTCAGGCGCATGAGGTGGGTCTGGAAAATTCCATTTATGATTTGGTTTATAGTCCACTTTAAATCGCTTGGCAGGTTCGCATAAAGATTACAGCCACTGGCGTTTGCCACACGGACGCGTTCTCGTTGAGCGGTGCAGATCCTGAGGGTCTCTTTCCAGTGGTTCTTGGCCATGAGGGCGCTGGCATTGTGGAGAGCGTTGGCGAGGGCGTCACCAACTTCAAGGCTGGCGATCATGTCATTGCCCTTTACATTCCGCAGTGCGATGATTGCAAATTCTGCAAGAGCGGCAAGACAAATCTTTGCCAGAAGATTCGCCTGACCCAGGGCGCTGGTGTCATGCCCAATGGCTCGTCCCGCTTGTCATGCAAAGGTCAGCAGCTGTTCCACTTCATGGGCACCTCCACATTCGCCGAGTACACGGTGGTGGCCGACATATCGCTGACGAAAATCAACGAGACAGCTCCATTGGAGAAGGTGTGCCTTCTGGGCTGTGGCATTTCCACGGGCTATGGCGCTGCCTTGAACACCGCAAAGGTGTGTATTGTTTGGGTTTACATAAGAGCTATAGTTATTTAATTAATTATTTAGGTGGAACCCGGCAGCACTTGCGCCGTCTGGGGTCTGGGTGCAGTTGGACTGGCCGTGGGTCTGGGTTGCAAGAAGGCTGGCGCCGGCAAAGTCTACGGAATCGACATCAATCCCGACAAATTCGAACTGGCCAAGAAATTCGGCTTCACCGACTTTGTCAATCCCAAGGATGTGGCCGACAAGGGAGCTATTCAAAACTATCTGATTGACCTCACCGATGGCGGTTTCGACTACACCTTCGAGTGCATTGGCAATGTGAACACCATGCGTTCCGCCCTGGAGGCAACGCACAAGGGCTGGGGCACATCGGTGGTCATTGGTGTGGCCGGCGCTGGCCAGGAGATTTCCACTCGACCCTTCCAACTGGTTGTGGGTCGTGTGTGGAAGGGATCTGCCTTCGGCGGTTGGCGTTCGGTCTCGGATGTGCCCAAACTGGTGGAGGCGTACCTAAAGAAGGATCTGCTGGTGGATGAGTTCATTACCCACGAACTGCCACTATCAGAGATCAACAAGGCATTCGATCTGATGCACAAAGGCGAGAGCATTCGCTCTATTATCAAGTACTAAGGATGTCCACCAAGATGGTTGGGTTTTTCACTTTTTTATCAGCAAGCAAAGTGTATTCAAATAAATAGAATCTTTCTTTAAATGTTTATTTATGAATCAGCTTATCGCCTGGGGGTCGCTCGTCTTTTATAAATTGTGCCACTTCTCGAATGGTCTTCTAATCTAAGTAGTGAACTTTGAATGCTTTGGCGATTGTGGTTGGAGTTTAAATATAGAATTTCACAACTTAGCTTAATTCCAATCAGGTTATCATCCTTGACCTGCTCTTTGCAGCGCAGCAGCTTTCCAGCAGCGTGATATGTTAATTAGTGGAAAACAAGTTTTCTTTTATCTAATAAACACAAATTAGACCCAAAGACTGTTTGACGCTTGACTAAAACTCGAATTTATAGATTTATTTATGAAGACTGATAGGTACGTGACATTAATAATCCTGTATGAACCATATTGTGTTCATATTTCAAGAGTTTTTTTTTGATTTATTATTATATTATATCTTTTTTCTTAATATTGGAAGGTTGTAGTCGCTTCGTGTGAGTTCTCCAGGGTTCAGTAAACTTCATGCTGATACAGCCGAATACAATGTTGGGGCCGACCCTATATTGCGTGTAGATCTCGTTCAATGTCCAATCAAACCATGGAGCTATAAGCCATTAGATGAAAGAGCTATGCATTCTCCATTTAATCAATCAAGAAATGCCATCTTTAAGCACAATAAACCCCATTAAAAAGTTACCCAAATTACACATACATATGTATGGTCTGTATTTGATTATGTAGTACAACGAGGTTTACACACAAACACAGATGCAGATGCTTAAAATCTCTATTAATTCTAGTATGTATATTATTTAGTCCAACAAATACGTAGCAGTTTTGGTATAGTTTGGTTTTCTTTATAAATATAATTCTCATTTTAAATGCGTATGTATTTCTTAGATAAACTTATACTTATATACAAATGTCTTTTATTATTAATACGATATTGCGCATATATTTAAGTGTTTGTTCATTTGCTTTGATTTTGTGACTACGGTACGGATCACGCTGAGACATTAAAAACGTACAGAGCTGCCTTAAAAATGGCCTATGCCACTATGGGATTATTTATGGGGTATACATACTAGACTGTGTTGTCCGTCAAGAGAGTATAAATATGATTGCAATTTGAACATTAAATGCAAAGGGTTTGAGAACAGAGACAGAGACATTATTGAAACCAAAACTATTTGCTGGAAAACTAATATGTAAACACTGCTAGGACCACTATGGGATTATTTATGGGTTACAAATATATGTAAAACTAGACTGTATTTTTCGGCAAGAGAGTGTAGGTTAGGTTAGGTTCAGGCGGTAGCCTGGGGGAGTGATGATTGATTGCAATTTAAACATTAATTGCACAGGGCTTGAGAACAGAGGCTGAGTAATAAGTTAACATAAAATATAGAGACATTATTGAAACCAAAACTATTTGGGGGGAAACTAGTATTTGAGCACTTGTAGGACCAGATTAGCTCGATCAGCTCAGCGGCGGCAGTCGTGCTCCTGCCGCCAGGGCCATCTCTCACATTTGAGTGTTGTAGTACAAGTCTTCGTCGCACGGGTATCCGTACAAGTACGGATGATGGTATGGCACTCACGACCAGCGCGACTTCTGCAGGTCTATCTGTCCCTCCAGGGTCTTGGCCAGATAAATGACGAACAGCTGGAGCAAGGCAACGCCCAGGGCCACGCCAGCAATCACATAGAGATTTCGTTCTACCCAGACGCGCACGATTTCAATGCAGCCGCTAGTCCAGATGCGCTTGCTAGCGGCTGCCACCGAGTGCTCCTGCACGCCATAGCCGCACATAATGTTGACCAGGCCGGAACTGATGTCGGTGGCGTTGATGCAGCAGCTGTAGGGCACGCCGCACTTTTCAACAGATGGGGAGGAGCAATTGAAGTACTCGTTCTTGCCTGCAATAGGAAGGGGAAATGTCGATTAGTTGCAGTCAACTGTGTTGCAGGTTGATTGTGACTCACTCCAGTCCTGGTAGCCAGCATTGCTGAGGCCACAGCACTTGAACTCTTGCTGCGCAAAGTCAATGAAATTCTGCAGATCTGAGTCATCGCGGTACGAGTGTATAATCTTCTCGGCAAACTGTGATTCCAAGAACGAGTTCATGTACTGCGGGAACACGAAGCAGATGATGGCTGCAATGAGAAGAGAGTTAATATTCTTCCTGCGTTGGTAATCGGTGTGTGTACCCACCTAAAGTCATTTCCATGATGAAAAACATAAGCAGACACATCGAGTAGAACTTCAGCAGGCAGGTGTTCTCCCGCAGAGCTCCCAGGCATCCGGCAAAGCTGACCACGAATATCACACAGCCCGCAATAATCATCACCAAGGATATATTGAAGATCACATCGTAGACGGTGTCCAGGCGCAGCCACCCATTGCCATCCTTCAGTTTGTCCATGAACGCGTACACACCGATGGCCAGGAGCAGGCCGCCGAATAGCCAGAAAAGGAAATTCAGCAGGAAGATCATGTATTTCACGCAGGAGCTGACGTAGGTGAAGTGGTGGGGATACGACATCCGCGGATGCATGTAGCTGCCCCCATGGTGGTATCTGTGGTTACTCATACTACTCGTATTTGTCGAAATCGAATGATTTTATCTCAATGAAACACTTCTGTTCTTAATATCTGGCTTGTCTTCTTCTTTATCAAGTCCACCCCCACGGTTTGTTGACGCCCTCTTTGCGTGTGGTCTTTTCGCGAGCTCAATGGTATCCCACTCTCATGGTGCGCGCTTTGGCTGTGTTTAGTGAAGCTCAGCACACAACAATGGATTAATTTTTCACTGATTTTTTGTATAAACAATTACATTACACAGAGATAAAAAATAACAAATTCGACAGCGTTGCCACACAGTTTTCTGTGGTTGACAAAGAGAGAAGCAGTGTTAGTTTTTCCTCTGAACGGCTGGCAGCACTGCCAATCAGCTGTTCGCTCTGCGTGCGTTGCGCTGGGAATGGCATGTTTTTAATCTGTTTTTTTTTGCTGTTTGCTGCTGTTTTAAGCTTTTTTAAGCAAGTTTTCCATTTTCCTTCGCTGCGTAACAACGACGCGCGCTTGTTGGTCCGCGTGCACGCTTTACAAAAACTAGCCCACAAAGTTATAAACAAAGGCCAAAAATAGAAATAAACTATTTCAAGCAGGTGAGATATATTTTCTAGCGCCGTTCGTCCCAATCAATTCAAGGACACTCAGTCCCCCACCAGCCCCCGTAAGTGGCAATGTGTTAGTGGTCATATTTGGATTTGTTCTGACATTGAAGGAAATTGTGTTTGTTGGCCCCAGGTTATGAGAGGGGGGTTCTACGAGGCAGACAATTTTCTTTTAATGAGCGTGTGTGCAATTGAGCAACAACGGCTTTCTCTCTAATGCGCTTTCTCCCGTGTGAACATACATACACAGGCGGGGACATAGAAGCAGTCAAAACAAGTTGCACAAAAATAGAACGGATAAAGACGGAAGTGGCAGAAATTGCATAAATATTAGTCGTGTGTGGGTGGACAGACCTGTGCAAGACATATTAGATAGAAGGTACGGCAGCCTCCGTTCTGGAGTGCATCTATCCGCGAATGCACTCAAACGCTATACATATTATTCGCTCAATTAATTAAAACACACAGAAGAGAGGGGGTCTTCCCCTACCCCATAATCAATATACCTTTGGCCTGTCATTGACTTTCCCGTTTTTCCCCATGTTGTTTTGCTCTCGCCATTCACATCGAACGGTGATTAAATAACCAGCCAGTGCCAAGTGCAGCAGCAGTGCAGGCACCGTTAGTTGCCGTCTCCTCCTACGCCTTCTGTGATTGTCACTTTAAATTTTGTCTGCTGAAAAGTTGAAAATGTTTTCACTTTCTCGCCACGCACTGCAGCACACACGAAATTTCGCACTTATTGCTGCTGCGGCTGCCAAGTGGAGACACCCCAATCGCAATCCATTAGGAGTACTCGCAGCTGCAGTGCCCATCGCACGCTGCTTTGCAGGTGAGTGTGCTGGGGAGGGGTGGTCTATTTATGGGCTTGGTCTGGTTCCTGTGTGGGTGTGTCCAGGCCACACAATGGATTTGATTCATTTGTTGAGCCAATTTATATAGAAATCAATCGATTGACCAGTGTCTAATTATAGACGGAATTTTCTAGTTCAAATTGTCTTGTGCATTCCTTATGCACGCCATAATACCCTACCCCCCGTGCCCCTGCATCTGGCGAAATTAAATCATTGTCTACGACACAGTCGAGTGGTTTTCTATTAAAAAAAAACCAAATTAAATTAGACTGTCTTGCCCCTCCTCCCGCACTCCTTTTCCCACTATATGCTGTATGTATTTTGTGTACACTCAACAATCGATGGGCGCCACTTTGTTTTATTGCAGCATAAAGTGCTATTTTTAAACCATATGCGTTTCTTCACTCTATTTGTAGTAGTTCCATGCGTTTCTTCGCTTTATTTGTAGTCGGCTGCACTTAACCAATCTGTTTACACCTCCCACAATTAGGTTTATTGCCTGCCTCGGACTTTGTATACAAATTGTGTGTGGGGTGGAGGACGCGCGAGTGCATTTTGTAGCATATCAGAGGGGGAGCAGTCTCTGGTTTATCAAGGGAAAATAAACACCAGTAGGTACATTTCTCCAGTTTTATTTCTTCTATTTACGAAAACAAGATGATTTTGAGTTTTCTGAAAATACATTTCGCAATTCATGGCTGATAGTACTAGGCTCTGGTTTCTTATCTTGCTTTTAAACTAACAAATTATGATTGCCCAAGGTTTAGTTTAAAGTTCTACTGATAGGTGAACGATTAAGAAAGCTTAGCGGCATAATGTTTTTCGCATAATTATACAATTTCCATTACTCAATTGGTGGTAAACTAAGCAGCACACACGGACCGCACATAACTTAACCGCAGCTTAAGTACATTTTCCGTTTTAAATTACAGATACGCGTCACGACAGCGACGAGGCTAAGACGAATCCCAGTAAAGCCAACAACATGGAGAATAAAACCGAAAAGGTTACCGTTAACAAAGAGGAGCTGCGCAAACGCCTAACCCCACTGCAGTATCAGGTTACTCAGGAGGCGGGCACCGAGCGGCCCTACACAGGTGCGGCAAGCACAATAGAAGTGTTTCAAAACATACTTATATTTGTGTATTAACCACCCACTAATTCCTGTTGCAGGCTGCTACAACAAGCACTACGAGAAGGGGGTGTACCAGTGCATTGTGTGTCATCAGGATCTGTTCAGCTCGGACACGAAATACGACTCGGGCTGCGGCTGGCCAGCGTTCAACGATGTCCTCGACAAGGGCAAGGTAACCCTCCATCGGGATGCCAGCATACCAGGTATGTAGCCTCGGTTCGGTCCGTTTAGCTGTCTATCGTCTAGACAATGTTAAGCACACTTAGATGTTATTTGCAAAAACCGTTTTTGAGTTGAGTTTCTATATCATTTGCCGTTTCGTTGCCATATAATCAAAGTTTGTGTTGAGCTTAGGAGATACTAGCCTCAGATAAAAGATAACAAGATGTTTAATAACCAACCTGTAAAATACGAAGCAAAGACAGATAAAAAACAGTTCAGTTCTATTTTATGTTCTATAGCCAAAGAAATGTATTTGCAAAATGATTTCATTATTGTTCTGTCCCCTATATACATATATATTTTTGTTTGTTGCTTTGTTTTGGCTTGGTTTTGTCTTGAAATTGTGGTACGTGTTCCCTAGAGTTCACTGTAGTTGTGCCGTTCGTTAGACGCTTGAATGCCAAACTGTCGGCCATTTGATGATGATGATGATGATGATGATGATGTTGTTGTTCTTGTTGTTGTTGTTGTTGCTGTTGATTGTTGATGAACCTGAATGTGCAACTAACCGAAGAAGAAAAGACTAAAATGAATTCCTAATTGAGTATTATTCTTTTATTCACATCTTTTTTCCCACCCAAAACTATAAACTAAAAACTAAAAAACAAAAACCTCTAACTTTCTCCAAAAATGTCCAACAACAAAAACAAATGCAACCAAAATTTCATATATTCCGTCTCTCTCTCTGCTGCCCGAATTCTCCTCTAAACATATATGATTAAAACAACAGTAGTCATTTCAAAAACGTTAGGCATGGTACGCACTGAGGTGCGCTGCTCAAAATGCTCGGCACACATGGGCCACGTCTTCGACGATGGACCACCGCCCAAGCATCATCGTTTCTGCATCAACTCGGCGTCGATAGATTTTGTGAAGAGTGCACCGACAGCCGCCTCCACGACGACATCGTCCAAGAAATAATGCTCGATCTGTGTACTGTTTAGTGTCTCACCGCCTTCCCAAAAAACAGAAGCAAATGAATGAAGTCTCAAGCAGAATTAACGTGTTATGTTACAAGATATTTAGATATTTTATAGGAGTTTATTATGCAAAAAAATGTTCGTGAAACCAATGCTTGGCAAAAAGATATTGTATGTATGATAAATACTCAAATGTATTATGGAACGAGGAGTGAGACATAAATTATGTATTTCATGGAAGAAAAAAATGGGGTCTGATATACTCGGCATTAACGATCAGTCTGAAGATCCTTTGGTTTGGTTTAAGTATACTTCATTTTCGGTTGAATTTCATCCATCTTTCACGCGACTCTCTACTGTCTTTCGGTTTCAATATGACCCACCCACCACCACCAAAATCCATACAAAAAACTAAACCCAATCATCAGGCACGTACACAAGCTTAATACCCGCCATCATTCTCGTATCGTATCGATCATAGTTCAAGGTCAGTCGTCGCTATATTTGGGTTTGAGAGCTCCATTATGTGTATACCGATATTATAATTCTATTTTGATGGTGCATTCATTTTGTTTTTGGTTTTGCTTCTTACTCATGCCCAAAAATACTATATTTCGTTTTTTTGATTTGTATATTTGATTTATGTATAACATAATGCAATACTACTGTATCGTATCCAATCCCATTACATACTATATATAAATATATAGTGTCAAACAACTTGAATAATGTGTATTTTCGTATATTTTCTATTTCTCTTTTTTTTAACTCGCTTCAAACAAAAAACTAAATGTACGCCTATAAACGTTCTTTGGGGGTTTGTTTTGCTAACAACAAATAAAAATACACACACACACGAAATCCATTGTTAAAAATTGTAACAAAAAAACACTCTCACACACACACACACACACACATGATGCATACAATTTTGCTTTATTAACCGCATAATGATTATATACACCGATCTGCAAATACAAAAAAAAAAATAAATAAATATAAATCATTCGTTACGTTACTTGTCATCTCTTTTTGCCTCATTAACGACGTCCATTCTTTTTCTTCGCTCTCTCGATTTCGCCTCTCTGCTGCACTTGCACTCTCCTTCACTCCTCCCTCCCCGCATCGCCCTGTCACCTGACATTCTCTCTTGCTGTCTCCGCTGCACTCTCATTATTTGCCGTTGCATTTACTGTTTCTTCTCTTCGCATTCAACCGTTCTCTTTTGACGTCCTGACTGTACCCTTTGCTCTCCTGTTCCCGCTCTCTCTTTTTCTCTTCGCTTTTCATTTCATTCATTTTGCAATCTATTTTCTTTTAATTTGTTTTTTTTTTTATAAAAACTTTAACTTGATCTACAAAAAAAAAAAAAATGATTGTAAAACAAAAATGCGCTATATAAAACCAACAACAAAACGTATCCAATTAATCTCACAAATTTGCAAAAATACAAATTACAAAGGGGGCAATATTTTACTACTAATTGCACATCCAGAACGCATACGCACCGAGGTACGCTGCGCCCGCTGCAACGCCCACATGGGGCACGTCTTCGAGGATGGACCCAAGCCAACACGCAAGCGTTACTGCATCAATTCTGCGTCCATAGAGTTTGTCACGGCCGATCCCGCAGCGACAGGAGGAGCGGCGGCCACTGTGGCCACGCCCACGCCCATTGCACAGCAGTAAATGACGAGGGAGAGAAATCAACGAAGCGAATCAAAAATGGAAAAGGAAAATGGTGTGACCGTTACCAAAAGCTTGTGCGAAAGGAGTCGAAACGAAACTCAAAACTGTTGCTGTTAAGACGTTTTTTACATGTATTTTCTAACTATTTCCGCAAGTGTGGCCAATTTTAGCTTGTAGTCGAATGTCCGTCTGGGAATCAGTTTGTCCAACGGCAGCTGTCCGTCATATACTCGTGTGTGTGTGTACGTATGTGTGGAAAACGTAGGCGTCAGTTTTTTTCCTGGGAAATCCTCCGTGTGTTTTGTGTAAATAGCTAAAAGTTTCTCCTATTTAATTTGTTTGTTATACATACAATACCGAATACTACCCCCTGTACAACATTGAAACACATTACTAATTTTAAAGTGAGCGCGCTAAATAAACGTGTATTTTTTACAATATATAAACATCTGTTTTTATTCTTGACAGAGAGGGTATACTGATTTTGAGCAGAGATTTGAAACGCAGATCGGTATAGAATCACTATATTATAAAGCTGCAGCCGCACAGGAACGACAGTTCATAAGGCAAGTCTTTGGAGAAGCTTAATGAGCTTTCGATAGCCTTTCCAAAATGAAATAAAAAAATCGAAGTATAACAATGGCTCTGCAAGGGTATCAAAAGCTTCGGCTTCAACGGTAGCTTTCGATTCTGGTTCTTGTTGTTATTGGTTTCACCGACGCAGTTGCCATTCAGGTGGGAACAGCTGCACGGCGCTGTTATTGAGTCACTGTACAGATGCTGCGGTCGCTCTGTTGCGTTGCTGTGATGTAACAGCCCCACCGAAAGCATGAAATCGAAATTTATTTACGGCCTCACAAAAGTCAATTGACTTTAATTGTTTTGTATTTGTTCATTCATCTGTGGCTTTGGAAGGTAAATTTGTATTTAAATTAAGTGTTGTGTTTTGTGATAAATCGATAACGAAAGCTGTGAGAGCTAGAAAGTTCCTTCGATTCGATCTTAAATTACAATCAGCAGCAAAACCACGTGTAGGGTGTCTGAAAATTGATAGCCTGAACGCTACAGAACGCTACAGGTGGGTCGCTTCGATCGGACAGAGGACAGATATACATACAGACATTTAAACGATGTGCTGCTCGCGTGTAGATGTTTATTTGACATTCAAAAAGTAAACGTGAGCATATCGCCGGCTGTCGTCGGGCGCAACGTTTTGGTTCTGCATTGGGTTCGGCCGTCGCAGTATAAATCTTTTAATTATCTAACAATCGTTTGAACAGAGATTTCTGTGTAAATATAAATATAAATAGGGTGTTTTAGACTGATAATGGCCATCCAGAGAGAGTGCAAAGATTAGATTGAGTACGGGCGTCCATGGCCTGATACAACAATTGTGGCCGTGTTATTAAAAAGCGCTTAACCAAACAGAACAGCCCAACAGCGGATTCATTCCACGAATGCGGAAAGCCAGCCCCAACCGAACGGCATACGCTATCCATTACGTTACTTTACGTTGCGCGCCACCGTTACACAATTATCACAATGAAAGAGTGGCTGAAAATTTCCTGCCTGCTATGCATCTTCGGATGTGTGCGCGAGATCCGACCCTCAGAGCCGTATGTCACCGAATATCTATTGGGTCCCTGGCGTAATATCACGGAGACTCAGGTGAATGGATGGCAAAACAATCTATAAATACCAATAAATAATATTAATTCTGTTTACAGCTCACACATGATGTCTATCCCGTGGGTACATATGCGTACCTGGTGCAATTGGTCTTTGTATTCCTCATAACCGACTTTCTGCGGTAAACATAATGGAACTTTTATACAAAAAATCCAAATAAACATCTTTCCATTTCTTTTGCAGCTACAAGCCGCTCATCATCACAATTGGAGCCACCGGTGTGATCATCTGGAGCATGCTCATCTGGACAACTAGTTTGTTGTCGCTGCAGATCTTGGAGTTCTTCTATGGGACCTACATGGCAGCAGAGGTGGCCTACTTCACGTACATCTATGCCAAGGTGGATAAAAAGTATTATCCTCGCGTTACATCCCACACGAGAGCTGCCATGTTTGTTGGAAAATTGGTTTCCGGCATTACCTCTCAACTGATGATCAATCTGGAGCTGATGAACTACAAAGAACTCAACTATATAACGCTGGCCAGTGAGTGGCAAGATATGCCTTTCCAAAAACAGAGACTTATTCAACCTGTTCTTTTTTCAGCTCAAATAATGGCCATGTTGTGGGCCTTTGGTCTCCCCAGAGTGGACAAGAGCCTGTACTTTCATCGCGAAGAGTCGTACAACACACCAGAAGCCATATCGGATCAGTCCTCCTATACGCAAACAGAGTTGCCGGGGGATTCCAGCATGGAGGTGTCCAGTCAGTCGCAGGCGGACATTGCGAAGCAGCCCAGGGCCATGCGTTTGCTGTGGATTCACTTTCGCAGTGCATATACCAATGGCCGTGTGATTCAGTGGAGCCTGTGGTATGCCATCGGCTTGGCTGGCTACCTTCAGGTCACCTACTACATGCAGGTGCTGTGGAAGGTGATCGAGCCGGAACCGTTGATAGCCTGGAACGGAGCCGTTGATGCAGTGCTAACCGCTTTGGCTGCACTGAGTGCCTTGGCGGCCGGTTACCTGCACACGGATCGTCTGAATCCGCGCACAAGTCTGCTTATTCTGGCCTTCTTCTCTGCGTTGGAAGGAGGCTGTGTGCTGATCTGCTGCTGGACACACAATATTTATTGGTCGTATGTGGGATTCGTGTTGTTTGGTGGCCTCTATGGCTTCACCATCACAGTTTCCAGGTAAGATCCATCATGACTCTTGTTAGATATCTGTAATTAACTCCTTTTCTTGGTCGTTGTAGCGCTGAGGTGGCCCGACATCTGCAGGAGGATAGCTTTGGTCTAGTTTTTGGCTTTAATACGCTGATCGCACTCATTTTCCAGTCCCTCCTGACCATGATATTTGTCACAGAGACGGGCTTTGAACTCGATGCTGTGGGACAGTACACGGCCTATGCCTTCTATTTCATTTGCGTGGGCGTTCTCTATTTGATATCAGTCCTCGTGGAGTATATCTGGTTTCGCGCAGCAACCAGGGAGAAGCTGGAGAACACTTTGGAATAGTTATAGATGCATTTAGCAAAGTACTTAAAGTCACCTGTTGGTGTGCACAAAAATATATGTAATTAGATTAAGTGAAGCGTGTTCCTATATGTTCTCGTTCCCGTTGAAAGTATTCCCGCGATTTCAGGGTTCGACAATAATGTGATTGTATTCCGAGAAAGATCGATTGGAAAAAGTTTAATCATTGCGTAGATATGTTCCATTTAAAGAAAGCCCCAATCTGTCTCAAGTGTCACGGAATAAAGACCTGCTTTTATAGACCATCATTACTGTTTTTGAGTGCTGTGCTAATGATTTAATAAGCTGATAATTTATAAGGCGAATTGCGATTGTATCAAGCTCAAGCTTTGTCTAGCTGAAGGGTAATCTTGTTGCCCAGCAGACGCACCCAACTTTAACAATATTTCCAAGTTTAGAGCTTAAGGTATCTTTATAGTAACCCTCTGCTATGTGTACTATCTTCAACAACCTATAATTTTAAAGGCCTGTCATCGCTATAGCTTGTAAATATGGAAATGAATACATATGTAAGTATTAGCGGACATATACGAATTTGTACGTGAAGGTATGTACATGCATACATATGTGCGGGTCAGTTTTAGCGCTGTTTTCAGCTAAGCTTTTGTGGAATTCCGCTGGGTTTCAAACAGTGCCTGCTAAACCCAGACTCCCCTATATTATTGTCTAAGTACGTTTACGTCCATTACTTTTTAGTGTATTCCTCGATTGAAAATCATCCAGAAATGGCATTTTATCCCTCTATAAAGATGTCTTTATTTTGTCAGGTTGAAATCGCATTTTAAACGTTTGAATGTCACCTTCCAAAGTTATTAATATTCACCTGGGAATCTCCCGATTCTTTTAGCCTTATCACTCAATACTACCACGCATGTTACACGAGATTTTGATCAAAGTGCTTTAACTTATCAGCCTTCAATTTCACTCATAAGTGTATCGCGAACGAAAACAGAAACCACATTTTAAAGACCTACCAGGTTGTTAAGAATATAAGTTATACTGAAAGATCCACTTAAATGCTTTGCTAATAGTCTAATTAGCTGATAATTTTAATTTCATGGAGTGGGAACGGATCAGCGACTGCATCGTGATTGTGCTTTGGCTATGCTGAGAGCAAATTAGCGGAATCTTTTCATCGGATCTCCCTTACGCTCCGCCATGTGTGTGAAGTCCGACAGGCCCAGTCCATGTAGGTTGGCTCGTTGAAAGTCTCCCGCGTCCAATCGCGAGTTGCGCTGATTATAAGACACGTCAAAACGAAATCTCTATAGTCAGAGAGGTACCCTCATAACCCCCTGGCTGGAAGAATGTGTAATTATTTTAATAGGTTGTCTAAGCTTTCTAGACACCGCACAGCGCGGCGTTCCAGCATTATCGCTGGATTGCAGTGAATATCGCGATTAGATTCGCATTGGCAGCCGCAGCGGGATGGAGTCGTGGCTGAAGATATCGTGGGTATTATGCATATTCGGTTTCCTGCGCGAGATCCGTCCCTCGGAGCCTTATCACGCTGAGATATTGATGAGTGACTGGTATCATGTCACCCAGGAAGAGATCAATCGTTCCGTCTATCCCGTGGGCACCTACTCCTATCTGGCTCTACAAATCTTTGTGTTCCTCATCACAGACTTTCTCAGGTAATCAGAACCCAGGCATGCAATAATGCGATCGCACCAAGGTCATACCTCTGTTTTCTCCCATCAGATACAAGCCTGTAATCATTGCCAATGCTCTGACGGGCATCTTAGTCTGGAGTACGCTGCTTTGGACCACAACGCTGACGGGGCTGCAGGTGGTTGAAGTTTTCTACGGCTTCTACCAGGCGGCAGAAGTGGCCTACTATGCTTACATCTATGCAAAGGTCGATAAAAAGTATTATCCGCTTGTGACCTCCTACACCCGGTCGGCCATGTTCGTGGGAAAGTTGGTGGGTGGTCTCCTGGCGCAGCTCATGATTGGCATGCATTGGATGGTCTACCGACAGCTCTACATCATCAGCATTACAAGTACGTTTAATACTCTGGCTAATCAGAAGATTTATAATACAGCAAATGATTTTTCCTGCAGGTCAAGTGTTGGCGCTGTTTTGGTCGTTCGGTTTGCCAAAGGTCGAAAAGAGCCTGTATTTCCATAGCCAATCTGGAGCTGGGAAAGATGACACAAAGTCCGATGCAGCAGTCATTGAGAATGGATCACAAAAGCCAGAGGAAACGGTGGAAAAGCCTTCACCTGCCACGAAGCAAAGCTTCCATGCTTTTCAGCTACTGTGGACTCACTTCCACAGCGCCTACACAAATCCCACGGTCCTGCAGTGGAGCCTATGGTATGCCATGATACTGGCAGGCTTTCTCCAAATAAGCACCTACATGCAGGTGGTGTGGAAGTCCTACGATGAGCCAACTGTAAGTGGAGGCAGATGGTGGTATATTGTAGTGTCTTCAATGTTCTCTTTACCAGATTGCATGGAATGGAGCCGTGGACGCTGCTTTGACGGCCCTTAGTGCTGTCTTCTCACTGCTCGCGGGCTACTTTCCTGCGAGTCGCCTGAAGACGCGCACCAGCTTTCTGACCATAGCTGTGCTGTCGGTACTGCAGGGTGGCTGTATACTGCTGTCATCATGGACCAGCAATATATACTACTCCTATTTGGGCTATGTGCTCTTCGGCGGTTTATTTGCTTTTACCATAACGGTGGCCAGGTTTGTCCTAAGCCTCAATCTCTTTGTTGTCAATCTACCCATGTATCGCTCTTCTTGCAGCTCTGAGCTGGCTAGCAGCCTGGTGGAGGACAGCTTTGCCTTGGTCTTTGGCTTCAACACTTTTATTGCGCTCCTCTTGCAATGCATCCTGACATTTGTGGTTGTTTCGGAAAATGTCAATCTCAATTTGAACGTATTTGAACAGTTTACCGTTTATGCCTTCTATTTTATGGTAATTGCCATTGTTTACTTCACAGTTGTTGTATTGCAGTGCGTTTGGTCTGGCGTGAAAGGCCCGAAAACAAATAAAGAGGTCGTAAATTGATCATTTTGGTTTTTGGTAGCCTTTTGTTTACAATTATCGGTAGTAATATCTGTGTGATCACAACAACCTCATGATCGATAAGAAATAGTGGTCGATATCGATATATAGAATTACAAAAATATTTCTGTGCAAAAATAAAAAATGTGAATGATCCAGTAGGGCTATTTCTTTCCAAACAATCTTTAATTGGCGAAAAGTATATTCAAACGCAATTAAACCTTTTTATTGAAATTAAATCGCAAATTGAAGAAACATAAATATCGTACTCTATCGTACATCTCCAAATGGTTCATCTACCGATATACTCCTACGACTCTCACCTCTAACGCCCGGCTGGTTGTTGGTGGCGCGGGTTTTTGTTAACAATTGTTGTTAACAATTACAAACATTTAATTACATTGCCGCTTTTGACACTGCATACTGCAGTACAGCACTAGCTGCCGTATCAGCGATACGTGGATACGTGAGTACGCTGTTCAAAGAACAATGGACATGGTTGACCTTACACCCTTCCTCGAAATTTTTGTTTACAGCCATAAAAAAGATGAGAGTTCTACGTCGCGGGACGGTACAAAAAATTGCGTTGGCCGTTTGCCTGGCGTTGTTGCTCTTCTCCTTGTATGTTTTAAATGAAGAGAGGGATTTGGATAAAAATGTTAAAATGTATGTCTTTACTCGTATCATTGCACAAATACCATGTCTGTTTGTGCTTGTGTGTGCTTTGCAGATAATCATTATTTATTAATTGCTTTTGCTTGTATATGCTTTTTCTCATGTGCAGCGAAATTATCGAGCGCTCCATTCGGGCGGCCATGAATCAAGGCGAATGCCGACATCCATACCTGGATGTGGATAATCCCGATATCATGCAATTCTACAAACCGGTGGGGAAAGTACACTGCGGCGACGGACTCGATTGGGTCATGTGCGAGGTGACTGCGAGAATGTTTGCGAAATAATCATATTCTTATGCCTCCTCTTAATCATTGTTTCTGTAGAAATCCATATGCTTTGTGAGGCCCGAGATTACTGCCAGTCACGAGGATGTCATTTGCTCTTACACGGACATCATACGCAAATCGGACTACAAGGTGCGCTTTGGGCGTACGCTGAGGGTCAAGGAGCCGTATGTCCTGCAGAGCAGTGACTTTGTCAAAGTATCATGCCGGTCGGGCAGCGGTCAAAGGTGACTCTTAGTTCACATTCCTGCCTGTGATATCAGATTACACTTGTTTTCTTTGTTCCCACAGCTGGTTCGGTATGGCGCATGGTATCCGTGATACTGTGCAACGACCGCTGGCTGCCAATTTTGCCCCAAATCTGGCTGTATTGCCACCGGAGGCAGTGGCCCAGGCCCAGCCTCAGATGCAGGAAGTGCCGACCGCCTCGTTCTACAATGTTCTGATGTTCGGCTTTGATTCGCTGAGTCGCAACGCCTTCATGCGCAAGCTGCCAAGGACATACGAGTATCTGACCAAACAACTGGGCGCCACAGTGCTGAAGGGGTATAATATTGTGGGCGATGGCACGCCACAGGCACTGGTGCCTCTTCTGACGGGCTTTACGGAACTGGAGCTGCCAGAGACACGGAAACGGTTTTCGGGATCGGGCAGCGTGGATTCGTATCCCATGATTTGGCAGGATTTTGCACGTCTCGGCTACATGACTTCCTTCAACGAGGATTTGCCCAATGTGGGCACATTCACGTACCGCATGAATGGTTTTCAGTCGCAGCCCGTCGACCACTATCTTCGCACATATTTTGTTCAAGCAGAGCAAATGGCAGGCGACAGCCAGCCCAACTGTATTGGCCACCAGCCGGATCATATTACCATGCTGGAGTACACCAAGAATGTAAGAATTTCCCGCATCTTTTCAAGCTTAACTGAACCATATTCCCCTTTTAGTTTATGCTTAAGTATCGTGATGCGCCGCGCTTTGTCTTCAGCTTTCATGGGGGACTCTCGCACGATTCCATCAATCTGGTGGGCGCAGCCGATGATGATGTACACGACTGGCTGGTCGCCCTCAAGGAGAAATCTCTGCTGGATGACACCATTCTCATTTTTATGGCGGATCATGGCAATCGCTTTGCAGAGGTGCGGGCCACCCTGCAAGGCAAGCAGGAGGAGCGACTGCCGTTCTTTAGCTTTGCCTTTCCCGAGTCCTTTAAGAAACGTTTCCCCCAGGAGTACAAAAACTTTCTGGCCAACGAGCAGCGCCTTACAACGCCATTCGATGTGCACGCCACACTGAAGCACATCATTCGTAAGCTTTTATCTTTCCATCGTATTGTTAGACCATCTCAAATGATTTATCTCTGCAGAGCTGCAGACCGCCAGCGACGAAGAAACGACTGTTGAGAGCGATGATATATCTCCTAAGCCCAGGATCCACATCTCGGAATTGGCTCGAGGACGTGCCATCTCGCTGCTTGAACCCATACCGACCAATCGCTCTTGTGCCGATGCTTACATAGAGCCCCACTGGTGTGCCTGCCTCAATTGGCGTCCACTGCAGCTGAACGACACTCAATACTCTGGCGTGATTCTCAAGGCGGCACAGAGCATTGTGGACACCATCAATGCGGCCACAGCCGAGCAACGAAAGTTCTGCGTTCCCCTGGACTTGCTTCGCGTAAATTGGGCACTGCGCCTGCAGCCGCACAAGGAGCTGCTGCAGTTCAAGACGAACAGCGACAGGGATGGTTTCCTGGCGGATATGACCGGCCAGACGGAGGTGCACGACGAGATGTACCAGCTGCAGCTGGTCACACAGCCGGGCAATGGGCTGTACGAGGCCAGTGTGTCCCACAACCTGCAGACATTCAGTGCGACAACAAAGCTCACGGATATCTCGCGTGTGAACAAGTACGGCACTCAGGCCAGGTGCATTTACGATCGTGATCCAGAATTGCGGAAATATTGCTATTGCCGCGACTAGTCAATGCGCACATGCAGACGCAAATAACGAACACTCTCTAGTCTGTAGTCTCAAACACAGAGATCTGCTAATCAATTAGCTCGATTAATATTCGAATATTCACAGCTGTTTGTATTTGTATTCTCCTCCCCACAATGTATTCATATTTGCCCCAAAAGACTACGATCGCTCTCTTTTTCGATATTAAGTTTGAAAGTCTGCCTCAGTTTTTGTAATATAAGTTCCTCAACTCAAAGCGAAAGAAAGTACTAATTATTTTGTATTTATAGTAGTAGAGAAAAGAGCAATGAAATGAAATGAAACCTCTCTGTAACCAAATACCGAACACACGTAGATATAGGTATATATTTTTATAATGCACTGTATTTATAGTCGCCTGTATGTACTTTTATTTGAATATTGATAAACATTTCTTCACATACAGACATTTACGATAAGTATATACGCGTGAGGGGGTGTGTTTTTGTTTGATTTTGGGAATGCGGTCTGTTTGCGTATCCTGAGCATTGACCTCGCACTGGGGTTTGGGTTAAAATTAACTCTGTTTTTTTGCGTAAATTCGTAATCGCGTATATACAATACTAAACATTACTTTGGTTAGATCCGTAGAATATCCGTATCCGTGTCCGTTTCGTAACCATGTGTATTTCTAGGCGATCCTTCTACTTTCTGCGCCTCCATTCTACTGATGGTATATTATATCTGGTAATACCTTAACGTTCATAAACGCACTGTGCATAATTTGGGGTGTACATATGTATATATCTTATCTAGATAGAACTATGTATAATACTTGCTTCGATTTCAGATTAGTTTTTTTGCTTTTGGGATGGGTAATAAAATATAAAAAAAAATCTAGTAATTGTACAAAAGTCATTATTTATTTTTCAAGTTTAAATACTCAATAAATTAAGAGTAAAGGATCAAGGAGATCATCTTACCAAATAATAAAAATATAATGATATTTATAATCGAATAGGAAACCAATTAAAATAAGCATAATTATAGGTCTTAGATGGAAATGAGTCTCGAGCTAAAAGGATATGGTTCGCGTATGGTATATGGTTTAGGGGTAGGTGTGCTTATAGATAGCCTTCCTGTGCATCGAGACAGAGAGAGAGAGAGTATCGCATACTGCTGCTCTGGCCTGTAACCTAACATCTAAACAAAAGGGAAGTCGGGGGGGGGAAGCAGAACCTGTGTGGTTTACAACTAAACTTTCTTTAAAGTGTATTGTATTTGGTTATGTGCATGAGGGTTTTGTGCATCGTCTAGCTGTAGAGAGCTGGTGCGGCGGCGGCATTGGCCATTTGGTGTCACGAGACTGAGGTGGCCAGAAACTCCTGGAGCCGCTGCACGGTCACACGATCCAGCTTGCACAGATCAAAGTCGAAGGTCTTGTGCGTGATCTCGTAGCAGCCGGTGGCCGCTATCATTTCGACGACCTGTTGCAGCTCCTCGTTGTCCTGCAGCGTCATGATCTTGTGATGCAGCTCCTGCAGTTCGCTCAGATATTCCGTCGGCAAGGATGTGGTGCTCACCTGCAGCGATGGCGTCATCTCAGCCGGCGAACTGCTGTTATTGTTGTTGTTGTTGTTCAGGCTGCTGGCTGCTGAAGCCCCACCGCTGGGATGGCTATTGCTGGATGGCGAGGACGGCGGCGGCGGCAGGAATCCTGATCCTGCACTGCCAGCCACTGGCGCTAGCGCTGTGGAATTCGCATTCGAAGGACGCAGCGACGGCGATTTGGATTTCTCACGCGGTGCCTTGTTCTGTTCCTTCTTTGAGGGCTTGACGGGGGGCTCCATAAAGCCCCCTCCACCACCGCCGCTGCCGCTGTTGCTGTTCTGGGAACTGCGACGATTCCGTTTCTTTTCCTCTTTGTCCGGCTTCTCGGACTTGTCCGCCGCCTTGGTCTCTGGTGTTCTGTCTGGCCTTTCGGACTTATCGCTGTTCTTCTCCGGCTTTTCGTTTGGCTTTGACTTTCCCTTGTGTTCCTTGCCAGCAGATTTGGCATCTTTTGCGGACCCTGCACTGGCCTTAGCCGCCTGTGTCGATGGTTTTTGTTGGCTGCCCCTCGCTGGCAGATCGGGAAAACTGCTGTTGGAGCTGTCCGAATGCTGGAGCGTGGCAGCCGCTGCTGCGGCCAGTGCACTGGTGGCAGCCAGATCCGGCGCCGATTGAGCCGAGTCCACATCACTGAGGTCTAGATTGCTTGGAGCCTTGTTCTGTCCCGGCTGTGGATGCGTCTGTGGCTGCTGTTGCTTGCCGCTGTGCTTGGCCTCCGTCTGCTTGTCCCCGGCGGTCTCTCGCTGCCGTTTCTCGTCCTTGCTGGAGGCCTTCTCCTTCGATTTCTTGTGTTTCTCCTTCTTGCTGCTGTTGGCATTGGCACTGGCTCCGCTGGTTGCAAATTTGTCCGTCGTCGTGGCCTCACCGCTGGGACTGGCACCCGTTGTCTTGGGCGATGGCTCAGCCACTGATGGCTTCTCCACTGTCGTTGCTGCCGCTGCCAGCTGCTGCTGTTTGTCTTTCTCCCGCTCCTTGGGCTTCTCTTTGTCCTTTTCGCGCTCGCTGCGCTCCTTATCCTTGTCCTTGCTCTTGTCCTTCTTCTTATGCTTGTGGGACTTCTTGTTGTTGTCGGCATTGCCATTGCTCGTCCCCTTATCTGACTTTGGATCTGTGGCTTTCTCTAAATGCTTCGGAGTGGCCGTCGTCGATGTGGACTCCTCTTTCTGATCGCCTCCCCGCTTGCCGCTGCTGGCCATGCTGCTGCTGCTGTTGCTGCCCACAGAGGTGGGCGTCGCCTTGCCCGTGGCGGAGGCGCTCTGATTGGTCGCTGACTGATGCTGCAGTGTATTGCCAGCGGTCAGAGGACTGTCGGTTTGGCCAGTTCGCTCATCCTTCGGCAGCCGCTTGTCCTTGTGATCCTCGCGCTGTTTCTCCCGCTCCCGTTCGCGCTCTCGCTCGCGTTCGCGCTCCTTGTCCTTTTTCTCCTTTTTGGACTTCTTGTTGGAGCTGCGCTCCTTGTCCTTGGACTCGGACTTCCCCGACTTGTGCTCATCGCGCTCTTTGGATCGCGAGTTGGGCACTGCGACCGCATTGGACGCATCAGTGGCCATCTTCTTGGGACTGGGAGCACTCATTTCGGCCTTGCCTAACTTCGGGCTGGCCGTACGCTTCATCAATGCCGAGGAATTTGCCAGGACCAGGGCCGTTGAGGAGGGTGTGCTACTGGAGCTCTGCTCGCGTTCACGCTCCTTGTCGCGGGACTTGTCCTTTTTGGACTTTTCCTTGTCGCGATCATGCTTGCCGCCCCCCTCGCCGGACTTGCTTGATTTGCGATCCTTGTCCCGGCCATGACGATCCTTCTTGTCCTTCTCGCGCGGCTTGTCCCCGCTACTGGACTTGTCGCGCTCCTTGCTCGACTTCTCTTTGCCGCCATCGTGTGAGCCGCTCTTGCCACTGGCGGGCGCGGCTTTGCCCTCCGGCGAGTGTTTTGGGGGAGCAGCAATGGCCAACATATTGCCGCCATTCCCCTTGGTGATGGGCGGCCCGAAGAGCGCAGAGAAGGCGCTGGTCTTGCCGGGATCATCGTTGCGCGACTTGTGCTTCTTGATCGGTGCCGAGTCAATAGTCAAGGTACTGCTGCCCCCACCCTTGGCCTTGACAATGCCCACCTCGTTGTTGGGCCCCCCCTCGCCGCCACCGACGCTGGGCGATAGCGTGCGACTGAGGCTGCTGGGCCCGATATTCGCACCAAATACGGGCACTCCACCGCCGCGCATCAGCTTGGCGCGAAATTCCTCAGAGGGGGCCTCAAACACGTGTGTCTTCACCTCGACATGGTGACGTGGTGGCCCTGTCTGCTGTAGCTCCAGATCGTACTGGTACATGATGCGCTTGGGCTCGTCGCGATTGCGAAAATATATTTCGACTGGCAATAGGAAGCCGGCATATCCCGACTCATGTAGAGCATACGGTGGCTCCTTGATCACTGCAAGGAAAAATCAATGAAATTAACAAAACGAAAACTTTCGCGACATTCGACACTTACCACGCTTCGGTTTGGGAAAGGACTCGTGCAGCAGAAAGACAACCTTCTCCACAAAGGCACTGATGTCCGCCTTGTTCACGCCCTGCACGTAGATCTCCCAGTCGTGGGTGAAGGCCTGCGGATGTGGGGTTTTCTTGCTGCGCAGCTTTGACGTGTGGCCAATCTCAAATTGCACCTTGACCGCCATTCCTCTGTGTAGAGCATCAAACTCCGATGTCTCCGGCGCGGTTTCCGTTTAAGTGCTGCAAACAACAAAACAGGAAGCAACAACGCTTTAACAACATGTCAAATATCCCGCCAAAATCGATGCGGGGCAGGAGTAGTGCCCATTAGTGTGAAAAGATAAACCCGTATTGTAAAAGTTGAATGAAAGATTCTTATTGGCGCCCAATTAAAATCAAAATAATTGGCCAATCCAATGCTTGTGGCACGCCGCCCTGCTCTGCTTCCGACCCGCAGACAGCAGCGGCTCAGGGTGCATGCGTGCTGACTCTTGCAACATGTCACGTCCGCCTTCGTCTCCAGCTACTTTGAGAGCTCTTCCGGGCACCTTTGGCATATTGGGCAATGCGGAATAATTGACAGCTATATAGCTATTGATCGGTATTTGTGTTATGTTTCGCCTTTAAACCGAATTGTTATTGTTTGTGTGCCACATTGTGGCCTTTTGTCCAGGGCAAGCTTTCGCTCGGGTCATGTTTTTCTGCCGCAACAATTCCGGTTGCACAATTCTCTACTTACTATCTGCACTGGGCGCATTCGCATTAATATGCACACTAATTTCGCCTAAGTAACGATATTTATTATTGCTATATACAGAATTCGCGGAAAACGGAAAAACACACACAAAAAATCTATGTTGCCTAAAACAGTTCCATTGATTCGGTGAATGAACTGGTTCGTTGATTTCGCATCGTTCGATTAGTTCAGCGCTATCGATACCTACTCATAGCGATATAATTGTGCCATTAAACAATTCGTTAAATGATTTGTAACTATGCTAGAGCCTTCTTCCAATATTATTCAGATTTTTATGAGAATAAATAGAGATTTATAAAGATAAATCATCTCTATTTCCTTTTGTTTTCCCATCATCTCACATAATCGAATCATCGCTGTTCATGATACCAGTTCCGTGAGTTCGGTTCACATCTGAGCCACAGACAACACTCAAAAGAACATTAGGAAAAACAATAAAATGTTTTGCGAAAGTGATGGCAGAAACTGAAAACGACGAGTGAAATTGACCCAATTGATGAGTAGTCAAACCACGCCCAGGACGCCAACCCAGACCAGTCCAAAATGACGACTGAATTTGGCAACAGTCAACAGTTCGTGTCGAATAATGGGAATGCCAGCTGCAGTGCGTCTCGCTGGCTCACGGAGGAGGTCTTTAAGCTGATCGATGTTGTGCAACGCGACGAGGCCATTTACAATCCCAGGCACAAGTACTACTTCTGCCGACCGTACGTGGAGAACTTTTGGAGGGAAGTGGATCAGAAGCTGGAGAAGAATCCCGGCGCCAGCCTTGCCAAATGGACAAATTTGCGCATTTCGTTTCGGCGCGAGTACACCAACTATCTGGAGGAGAAAGTTCCGCCCTGCTGGTCGTACTTCGATCGCATGTTCTTCCTACATCCGTATCTGCGCAAGAAGCACCAGCAGCCCAAGTCGCTGGACACCCAGGTGCAGGATGCCCTGGCGCATCTCTCCAGCCTGTCGAACCGCATGCAAAGGGAGCGCACCGTGACCACCATCGGTACAACAACCAGCAGCACCACCCAGCCGACACCCACGTCTCAGCAGAGTCCCCAGGCGCAGCCGCTGGACAACTATTTGGATTACTTCGACGAGCATGAGCCAAACAACTCTGAGCTGGAGGACCTCATGGACGAGGAGGGACGCCATCGGTACCACAACCAGCTGGACAGCAACGATATCAAATCCGAGTGCGAGGAGCCAGTCGATGAATTCGAGCAGTTGACCCCAGACCACGACGAGGACGAGCCTGAAGACCATGAGATGCATAAGATGGCCCCCTCTTCCAGCGTGGCGGCAGCGGTGGCCAGCTCGTCCGCGGCAGAGGCCCACCGACGGTATGCCCCTCAACAGCCGCACACCAATCGAATGCATCACAACCGCCTGCAGATACGCGCCTACCAGGACGAAGTGCGGGCCAGTCGTCCGCGCTCGCAGGAGCTGCCGGTGCCCGCTGCTGTAGTGTCAGGCGTCAATTTGCCTGCCCAGCCCACAACCCATTTGAACATTTCCTTTGTACGTCCAACGTTTAGCAAGCCCGTGGATTTGGTCAGCACCACAACGCACACTGGAGGGGCAGTTCCTGCGAGTGGGGCGTCCGCCGAAATGGAATTACCAACTCCATCGAATTTAGCAGCAGGAGCCACCACACCCATGGTGGGGACAATGGCCAGTAGCAGCAGTGGCAGCTATTTGAGCCAGCGACATGTCCACAACCATCATCAGGCGGCGCCCTCTCTGCGTCTGGAGGCAAACAACTCGGCTGGTCCGGTGGCGAATGGAGGCGGCGTTGATTTGTGCGACTGCAAAACCGATTCCGATGCCATGTTCCTGATGAGCCTGTTGCCCGACATACAGAAGCTGAACGGTCGGGATCGCGGCAAGATTAAGATTGCTTTCCAAAACATACTACAGGACTACCTATATCCCGACTAGGCGTGGCCATAAGTTCCGATCTCTATCCACACAGTCGCTCTGTGTATAATTTTGTTTGCTTTTAGCATGTGAACGCCAAAGCGGCCCAGCCGCAGAGGTTTCCAGTTCTTAGAGTTTCCTTTTACTTACTTCAAGCTTTGCTGTGCAAGAACAAAGTATCCTTAACACGTTTTGAACACTATCAACTATGTTTATTTAAGTGTATAAATATTTATAAATATTTAACGTTTAACACAAGAATAAATTCATTCGAAATTTAGGCGATAATATATGGCTACAAATTAACTAGAAGTGCAGTGCCCTCCGACCTATCACATTCGTCATTCGTCATTCGAAGAGCTTCAGCTCGCGGGATATCTTCTTGATCTTATTGTCCAGCGTCGTGTCCTCGTGCTCGCAGATGTAATAGTGCCTCGAAGTGCACTCCTGGCCATAGTACACATAGCTATGCTTCCCCGCATTGTAGCTCAGCCGGAGACACCGTCCCTTGCCCTCGATCTGCACGGTGTTGTTGAGGACATCGCTGCCGTCCTCCGATGTCTCCTCGGAGCTATCCACCAGATTGGAGGCCGTGGCATTCTCGCTCTTCTGGGCCATGGCTATCGATGTGAGGTTCGTATTGGGATTCACAGGCTTGGCCGAGTTGGACCAGATCCACAGGAGACCAGGGTTGAGACCGCCCAGCCAGTAGTCGCGTCCCCTGTGCGGCGGCTGGTTCAGCAGATAGGCCATAATCTCTTCGTTCTCCGAGACCTTTTCGAACTCTGCCAAATGCGAGTTGAGGGCCTTGCAGGCCGAATTGGCCGTCTTCCAGTTGACCTGCTGCTGGCTGTTGATGTAATAGCAGTTGTCGCTGATGCGCGTAAAGTTCGTGGGGCAGGGATCCTTGACCTCCTTCTGGCCTTCCTTGTTGCCAGCCATCAGGTAGTAGATCAACTGCTCTGACCGTCGCACACGACTCTCCAGGTAATCTGTAAGCATTCGATGGCTCATGGTTGAAAGGGAAAGTTTTCTTTTGACTGGTTTCTAGTTTTCATTACCGACACGATAGACCAGCTTCTCGATAGCACCCAGCAGATACAGATCGTTCTCGGAAACAGCCCGGAATGTTGTGGGCTGGCCACTGCCCTGTAGATGCTGTTGCTGGTGCTGCTGCTGCTGCTGCAGGGGTACTGGCCGCAGATGCTGCTGCTGCTGGGGAGGAGGAGGAGGATTGGGATTGGGATTGCCTCCCCCAGAACTGCCGCCAATGCCAAAAAGCTGCTGCAGGAAGCCAGGCTGCTGTCGCTGCTGCTGTTGCTGTTGCTGTTGCTGTTGCTGTTGCAGGTGCTGCTGTTGCTGTTGGTGCAACATTTGATTGGTCATCGGCCGGAATTGGGGATTCACAATGGGACTCTGACTCTCCACGGGCTTGCGCAAATGCGGCTCCAGCTCCACAGCCTCGCCAATCCGCCGCGTGATGTAAATGTTGTTCCCAGGTCGCTTGTAGGCCGACGAATGATAGTTAAGGGGTCCGTTCATGGACATGCTCATGCCCATATCGCCGCCTCCCATGTACGGCAGATCCTTGGACGTTCGCTGACTGCTGCTTTGGCTGTTGGGGACAAATTAAACCATCATCTCAGGGGGAAACCTAGTCCAAAAACACACACCTCAAAACATAATCTTCGAGAAATTGCGACCAAATGGGAGCGTTTGAGTCCGCCTCCACCACTGCGTGTGATTCATTCGCGTATTTTTGCATATTTTCACCATCGCTGTCATTACATAAGACGAACGACGGCCCATGGCCCAGGCATAAAACTACCAGGTAAACAGCAGCCCCAGGCCGAAGCCGGATGGCTGTCTGTTTGCTAGCCGTAGCCGGTGACATATGATGGCTGGATGACACCCCCTTCTCACAGAGCAAGCACTTGGCGATTCAAGTCGCGCGGTCACAGAGCACTTTCGATTTCGATACGTTTTCCGTGCGGTTTAGGCCGACTCCGTTGTTGGTTCGTTTCTGACTGAATGCCGCGCGATCAGAAGACCCAGACTGAGGCTCAGTTCGAGCCCCAGAGCCGGTCGGTCGTCTCCAGCTGTCTGAGTCGCTGTCAATGGCCCATGGCAATGGCCCAGACCTGCTGCTGCTCACTGAGAAATGCAAAAATTTCACTTTCTCCTTCGGTTCGGTTCGGTTGGGGCTCTTTACAAATGTAAGTCATTGGGGCTGTTCGTAGAGTATGTATTTCTCCTCCGTGGCGTTGCTTTGTTGGCCGTCAACGCCCGCTTTTTGACATACTCGCAGTCGGAGTCGTACTGTTTGCACTCCATTAAATTGGTTTCATTCAGACTTAGGTAATTGCTCGGGGGCTTCAATGGAAACGAAAATGTATTCATTTCTTTGGTATAAATTTAGATATGGGTAGCATTTTAAGGGGGGCCATTCGGGAGGGGTTTGCCATAAAAGAGTTTTTCTAATTTCGGGCTAAAGTTTATACTATTTGAGATTAGCTTTAGGTTGTGGAGCTACTTTGCTCGTTTATATCTCTCTATTATATATATGTATGTGTATTATAGTTATAGCATTCTTTTATAGACAAAAGTATTTAGAAAACTCTCTTTTTATTTATTTTATAATATAATCCAAGTATAGATAAATATGCCAAGTGTTTCGGTACCATATTATTGAATCTTCTATTGTTTCAAAAGTGATAATTAGTACCAGTTCAGAGTCTAGTCTTTGCTTCAAAAATAGCAAATTATCCAGAGAATTTGCCAATTTTTTTCCTCGTAAAAGTACGCCTTTCTTTCGAGTTCTTTGAGGACCTATTACCATAAATGTTTCTTTCAAGACCAGCTCTTTTCTTAAGCTCCACTCTCATCCACATATGGACACACCTACTTCATAATGAAAGCATAATACAGCTTATATAAATCATGACTGGGACATTATAATGTGCAATTTAATGCGCCACTTAAAGTTTTAATAACTATTTTATGGAACTGCGAAAAAAGAGATTCGAGAGATTCGACGAAAAAGAAACACGTTACGGAGAGCCAAAGATACACTAGACGACAGATGGGGGGGAATTAAAGCTCCATTAATATGAAAGGTGATTCAATTTGGCTGACAGACCGACTCTCAGCGTTAACTGGATTATTGATGGTCACAGCAGCAGCCCACATCGATCAAAGATCTCTCAAAACTGATTTTACCCTGAAGATATGAATGGATGCATGTACATACGATATGTATCTGTATCTGTATCTGTGGATCGGCATATCTGAACTTTCGTTATTCAGATTACTTTGACAATTAGCGGATGTTAACGATGTTGCAATGAAGGCCTCGATCGAACCGTGATCTCATGATGACGCACTTTGAGCTTTTGGGTTTTTCACTCCACTTCAAATGGGGGGCTTTCCCAAAAAACCAAACAAACAAACCAAAGACCTACCTTTGCATAATCAGAGCAGATTTCGGCTGAAAAGCAGCCACAATTTCTGTTCAATTTCAGGCAAAGAAAATCAATTGATGCATTTTTCTCATTAAAAGCAAACATCAAACATATAATTTTTTTTTAGCAAATTTTTTATAAATTTTTTTGTATACTTTTTTTGGGTATTTTTGTTTGTGTAATTTAATTATATAAATTCAAATTTTAAGCAAAACTTCATTCTAAACAGCATCTATCTATCTCTCTCTCTCTCTCTCATTGTGTGTCCGCTGTTTGCTTTTTCTTAATATTTTTAAACAATTGTTTTAAAAATAAAAAATATATTTTTTTGGGGGCTTGGGCTGGTAAGGAATTAACTTTTACTTTCTGCTAAAATGTACTGCCTTGTGGTTCTTCTGCTGACTCCTTCGATTATTTTATTGTTTTAAATAATAAAAAAATAATTAAATTAAATGGTTTTTTATCGTTGGATTCTACTATCAATGCTATGGCTTGGTGTTGTTGCTGTTTGCTGATCTTGTTGTGGTTGTTATTTATTTATTAAGAAATATATAGATTTATAAAGAATTGTAATACACAAATGGATGTTGGTCTTGGTACTTCTTTTGGTTGGTTTTTCAAAATCATTCTGAGATATTCGTTGAATTTTAGTAGAGTTCCTTCCTCTCTTAATCGTCCTCCGTTGTTGTTGGTGTTGTTGTTGTTGTTGTTGTTGGTGTGGTTGGTGTTGTTGATGTTCGTACTCGTTGTGGTTCCAGGGTCCAGAATGGGGTCCCTTAGTATCCAGCCAACTCGGCGAATGTGGAGTCCATCTCGTCGGCGAGGGACTTGTACCTGTCCTTGTTGATGCCCAACTCGTCTGTGGAGTGCAACAAAGAAATGTCAGAACGTTAGATCAACTCGTTTCCAGTTGGTATAAGGTAACATCGAACATAGAACAGTTCAACCTTCGAATTCGGTTGAGGTTTTTGATTTTAGTGGCGCGCTGTTCTGGCAAGCGTTTTTTTCTATAGTTTTTTGGGTTAGTTTTTGCAGCATTGTGTGGGAGGGGGTACGGTACGGGGATCTATGATCTATCTATCCAATCATTGCAGACATTGATCGCATGAGAGAATGAGAGCAAAAACCTAAGCGAAAATCATAGAATGATTTGGGAATTGAGAGAGATTGATGATATTTGGCAGAGAAACAAATTGACTGAGAGAGAGAGACAGAGACAGAGAGATACGAGTATAGAGAGAGAGAGCGAGAGATCGAGTGGCATTCGATAACGAGTGGGCATTACGAGTAGAGTAGTGTCCGGTAGGTGGAAGAGTAGAGGCAAGACAGGACAAGACAAGAGATCATGCCACATAAGAACAAGGTAATCTTTTGCTCATCATATAAACCACATACACATCATCATAGCAAAAATACATATTTACATATAGATAGATTCACCTGTGTGTTGAAAGCATAATTAACTACAGCTGCAACTGGTATTTGGGCTTGATCTGAACTTATTTTTACAGTGTACTGAATGGGGCTGTGTGTCTGGGGTATAGCGGGAGACTAAACAAATTATTTACAGTGTAATTCTGTGACAGAAAATGTGGGTAAATACACTGAATTCTGTCTGGGGATAATCGCAAGAATATAGTAAACTGTTTCGGGGAGGTACTCTTTTTGTTCTTTGGGGGGAATGGTGGGGGTTCTGTGGGTCTGTGTTTCGTATTGATTTTGTTTTGTTCTTGTTTTTTTTTTTAATATCCAGTAAGTTCGGCAAATGTCTGGTCCAAATCGTCGCAGATTGCTTTGTACTTTTCCTTCTCATTGAAGAGACGGTCTGCAAAAGGCATTTTGTTGTTTGTTCATTTATATACAGATATATATAGAAGAGATATTTATAGAGAGATAGAGAGAGATATGGGGAATGGGTATATATCACATCAATTAATGTAAGCAGAGTATTATTAAGTATTATTCCGTTTAGTGATATATACAATGCGAGCATTAGTTGAAGCCTTCGTTTCGGACAGCATCTGAGGCGTCTCATTGCCATTGCAGATATCGTACGAGTGTACATATCATTGGATCTGAATGGAGAATGAGGCTGGAAAGCGATGGGTTGTGCTGGAACCTACCTTCTAGCCTGTCGACCTCCTTCTGCAGGCGCTTCACTTGCTTCTCGGCGTGCTCGGCGCGCTGCTCGGCCTCCTTCAACTTGATGGCCAGGGTCTTCATCTCGCGCTTGAATTCCTCCACGCGCTGGTTGGCCTTCTCCTCGGACACTTCCAGAGATTTCAGGGAGTTTCCGACAACCTACAGGAGAGAGAGAGACAGAGGACAATGACAGAGGGACTCAGAGACCCAGAGGGGGAGAGACATACCTTCAACTCTTCCTCGAGCTCCATGATCTTGGCCTCGCCGGAGCGGACACGATCCTCAGCGACCTCCAGCTCGTCTTCAACGAAGGCCAGCTTGCGGGAAACCTCATCGGACTTGGTGTCGGCATCCTCAGCGAGCATGCGGGCCTCCTTCAGCTGGTTGGTCAGCTGGTCCATGCGCTCCTCATCCTGCTGGGAGCGGTTCTCCAACACCTTGCACATACGGTTGTTCTCATCGGCCGACTGTGTGGCCTCCAGCAGCTTCTGTTGAGCGGTGGTCGAGCGTTCCTCAGACTTTTCCAGATCCTCCTCAATCTGTTGGACCTTGCGGTTCTGGGTGGCGACCTCAGACTCGGTGGAGGTCAACAGTTTCTCCTTCTCCTCCAGCTCGGCGTTGGCCTTCTCCAGCTGCTCCTTGGCGGTGACCAAATCGACCTCAACCTGGACGAACTTCTTCTCCAGATCGCGCACTTCCTCATTGAGTTTGTCGGCGCGGGAGTTGGCATCCTTGGCTTGATTCTCGCAGGTATCTGCCTTGTCAATGGCATTATCCTTCTCAAGCTTCATCGCTTGCATCTTCTTCTTGATGGCGTCCATGGTGTTTGTGTTTTTTTGTTATTGGCTCAGAAGGGAAGAAAACTGGAAAAAGCACTGCAAAACAAGAGATCGAACATTTTGGTTAGATATTTTTTATAGCTAGAAAATAATTTAGTTCTATATGATATCATATGATATGGTCAACTTTATTTATTCTTCAGTTGGAGTGTTTAAGTCCTCTAGCTTGGTTTTTTCGTTGGTCTACAAATTTTCTTTGATGTAGATATAGTCTCAAAAGGATTCCCATTGGCTATTCAATTAGAGTCTCTTAATAGTCTGTTGCTAAGCAAAATCCTTTAGATATGTCATAATTACTTTTTGGGAACTATATATATGGGAAATATATTGACTTTTAGTGCCTGAAAATTTCTATGTTACACGATTCTTTCAGAGGACTTTAGAGGAGCTCCCGGCTCTCCTTAACTTTAGTTGAAAAGCCACAAAAGGCCGCTCTTTGGTTTAACAAGAGCTCTATCTATGTCTTCCTTTAAATACATATAGACACCCATAATATATAATTTCTTGTGTGATCTTTCACTTGACACCTAGCCCATTTCCCATTCTACCATTCAACACCTAAAAAAATGCAATTGAAAAACCCCTCCAGGCGCATTTCGATCGTTTCAATAGATGTATCTATATCTACTACATATATATCCACATACGTATAATTATACATATGGTGTATATGTATCTTTGAAATAAATTGAAAATTTTAAATGTAAACACATTTTGTTTGCCCGAGCATTTATAAGCTCGAACGTAATTCTCCCAGTTTTTCCATACGCCCACCTCCGAATCCGGATCCCCGACGATCCGCTGGCTATCGCTGGGCTATATATTTATTTGCTGCACGATTCTGAACAGGTTAAAAATAGACTTTATAAAATATCCAGTCCGCACACACACACACACACAGACAGACAGCAGAAAAACACATCCATGGGCAATGCTTTTTTGGACATTGTGTGCTAAATGTAATTCTAGAGTTTTCCCCACCCCCCCATTATTTCGAAACACATACACACAAATAGATATCGTAGATATAGAGAGAGAGAGCGAGAGATTGCAATTTGAAAAGTTTTCAATTCTTTGGGGTCATCGGATGTATGGATGTGGGTGTGGGTGTGGGTTGTGGGGGCGGTGTGCATAGGTGTGTTTGTGTTCCTGCTGCCAGAAGTGGGACAAAGTCATTTATGTTGTAGTTCTGCTGCTTTTTTGGAGGTCTTTCGATACTTAAGTGGATATAGATACATTTGTGGGGAAAAAGTATGGAAGGAGAGTTCCGAGAACGAAGCAGGCAAAAGGTGTCTTGGGAGAGCAGTGGTTAAGAGGTTTTTGGGAGAGATAAGAGCCCTGATCAAATATAGGTACTAAAAATAGTATTCAATCAAGGAAGTACAGAAAATAGATGGTTAACTAGAAACAAATAGTGGATTCTAAGCACATTTTAAGCCAGATTTGAGACAAAGACATTAATTTCAGTCCTATATTATTTATGATAATAATGATATGATATTGTAGGTAAAATATTAGGAAAATTTGTATCTACGATGTATCCAAATTTGATTTGAAATTCCCACTTTATACGTTATTTTTTGAATGAGAGATATAATGAATGAATAAAGTCCACCTAAAAATCACACCATTTTCCATCTATAAGTACAGACATATTTTGTGGCCTTCGGAGAGCAAGAAAAGCCCTTATAAATGGCAAGAAAATATTCTGTTCGAATTCCGTGTGGGTGGCAGCCACATTTATCCCCTGGTTAAGTATATATATACATATATACAACGATATGTATCTATGTATACTATATATGTATCTTTTGTACATCTGTGATTCCTCAATTTCTAATAATTTCCAAAGAAGCTCTTTCGCTCTCTCTCTCTCTCGCTCTCTCGCTAGACGAAAAACAAACTCAAGGATAAATACGAAAATATTTCGATTGCCTTCGTCGTTGGGCTGTTCGTTCGGTGAGATCATGAGCCGAACAGCCGAACAGCCGAACAGTGGAAAAGAGGAAAAGCTTTTTCGTCTTAACTGAAGTTAAAAATAAAATGCGTCCGTATGTGTTTGTGACAGGCAGGTGTCTGTCTGCAGTTAATTTTAAAGAATTTTTCTAGCGGAAAATCCGTTCGGTGTGTGTGTGAAAATTGTGCGTAGAGAAGAGCTTTCCCTCCACATGTGTGCAAAATGTACCACACTCACACACACACACACACTCAGGAATACATTCCTTTATTGGTATTGGTGTGCCGTCAGATTTAGTTACAAAATTCCTTATAAGCGAATTTTTAAATTGTCCGAAAAAAACTCATCATACAATCTCCATTGGAAGATTGTATTTTATGGAAATTCTTCAAAGGTTGAGTATCGGTTGAGAGTGCTTCCTTTTTGATTGAATTTTAATCACTTGGGTTTATTCAGGTTCAGTTGAAATTTGCGTCACTCTGGGAACTATTTTTATAACAATTTTTTTTTTATATTTAACCATTTCTTAATATTTTATTTTTTACATATGCACATATTTTTTTTAATGGTTTCCCTTTGGTATAAAGCAATTGAAAATATTTTTCTTTCTTTGGTTGAATGCATTTCGATGCCATGCACTTTTCACTATTCTTCAGGCTATTTCTTTCGGGAAATACCAATTTTGGTTTGGACAGAATTGGATGAATCTTCAGTTATTTTATTATATATTATATATTGGTGTTAATATTCTTTTTTGTGGTGCAAAATCCTGGCGTGGAACCAACCTTAGCGTTTCAAACACACTATACGCTGTCGAAACCCCGAGAACACTGATGCTGACCGAGTCGCTTAGCCCAGAAAGCGACCCCAAGAACCAACGCAAGGCAACTCACACACACACCCACATACACACACGAACACAGATACTAACACACACACGCAGTATTGAATAATTTTTCCTCGTCTAACAAATTTCCCATTAAAAAATCTAAGCGCAAAAGCGCTTTCACAACTTTCGGCTGCACGATCGGCGAAAATTTCCCTCAAAATTTCCCACCAAAAGCTGTGTGGGCATGTGTGAGTGTGTGCTCTCTCTTTCCGCTGCATTCTCTCATCATCTCGAGAGGCGTGAAAATTATGCGTTTTGGTTTCCTCTCCTTCTTAAATATAAATTCAAAAATTTCTTCTTTTGCTTTTACTCAGAGAATTTTCATAGAATGTGTGTGTGAGTGTTGGTTTATCCGTCAGATTTTTCAGCCTAAAAATAGCGCATAAATATTCGATGCCTTGCCAAAGAGCCAGAGTCTAACAAGATGAAAATCTATTTTCACTCAGAAATAAATATTGAGAAATATTTGGAATTTTGATCAAAGCTAGAGAACAGTCGTTTCAGAAGTCTTTCAACTGCAGACAGCGACACAATACCACCCTTGGATTGTTGGAAAAATAATATAATATATACAAGAATTTTGTCATTGCTTTGAAATTTTACTTTTGATATCCATACTCTAGCGGTTTGACTGTCCCTTTCTCATATGTGCCTAAAAAGAATGCCTAGAAGCTTTGAATACTCCTTCAGATCGAGGGATTATGTGGAAACAAATTCTCTTAAGGCCGATCCAATCGTTAACTATAATTAGTAGTACAATTCGTTCCCATTCATTTGAGATTTCACTTTTAAGCAGCCCATAGAAATTTGCATGAACTTAAGACAGAAAGAACTTACAAAAGAATAGACAACCGATCTCTGCCAAAGTTTAACAAACGATTTCTCGGTCCGAAATTAATACAGAACTCTATACGATCTCAGAAAATTATTTAAAATTTTGCATGATGGTCCAGACCTGTAAATACCATGCGTTCTTCAGTTCCAAATAATCAATAACCTTCCAAGTTTATTTGAAAATGTTGTCAGAATTTAATTGTGTTCAACAAACTCTTGGAACTACCATTAAAGATCTTTCCAATACGAGTATATTCGTCTCCATAATATTTGTTTCTTCTTGCCTTTGAGCTCTGCTCATTATCCCTCTCCAGATATTCCATTCCCATCAATCCCCCACTTAAATAAAAAACACACTTTTGACGATTTTTATATGCAAAAAATTGTTTCTCTTTATTGATCAGAAAAATATTGAGAGATAAACCAAGATACACATATTGATTTATTTGATTTGCTTGTTTTCATAGAATTATAAAAGCTATGTCGAATTTGTAAATTTTATTTATATATTTATATCTCCCTTTATGTTAATTATTTTTGGTATTCATTTTTCATACAAAGGCCATAAACATTTTACTGCCAGAAAACTCAAGCAATGGGAAAATTAAGAGAAAAATTGACATTTTGCTTAGAGGACATCAAGCGCTATGGATCTTTATAGTGTAGATAATGCTTGAGGGTGTACGATATAGACTGGTGGGTTGAGGGGTTCATTACGAACTTCTTTAAAACTAGCAAGCCGGAAATTTAATTAAAGGGGCAAAAAGGCAGTGTTTTTCTTCACACAACTCTCATTGAATGCTTCGTTTTCTTTATAATTTTTTTTTGTATAAAATGTAATTGCTAAAAAAATTTACTTTATTGTAACATTTTCGGTCTTAGTTCATAGTAGAGGCTGTTATATCTATGTATTGTATGTAAATTTGTTCTGGAATGCTTAGTTGAAGAAGTGTCTGGAGTGTAATGCTAAATATAATTTGTATAGCGGACGTCGAAATGCTTTCAGAGTCCATTTTCCTTTTGTGTTGTGTTGTTGTTTGTAGATCGCAGGCTGCATTTGCTGTTGTTCTAGTGGTTGCTTTCATGTCATCTAGATTGGCTTAGTAGCTGTGAAGATCGGCATACTCCAGTTCCTGGGCAATAGTTTTGTACTGTTCCTTACCTTTGCTAACCTCATCTGTGATCGATTGAGCAGCGGCACAAGAATCGAATGAAAACAATGCCAAAAGGTTAATATACTTTTATGGTTGATTGCTTTATTGCTTAGTTTTGGATACAAATAATAAATAAAAATGTTTGAGTTAAACAGATACACAATAGTTTTAATGTTTCCTCTTCGTCATCGTCAGGCAAAATCAATCTACACAAACAAAATATACACACGCACACACAGAAATCAAAAGTACAGCTACCGATAACAACGGCTACGGAATACAACAGTGCGCCTATGGCTATGCTACAGTAAAAACAATCGAAAGATGTGTGGTGTCGGTGTCGGTTTTGGTGTTGGTGAAGTGTCGAAAGATTTCACGCTGCGCTGGAGGAGGTCGTCGTCCGTGGTCGGTACGCTTATTCCTTGAGGATGAGCTCGACGAAGGCGGTATCGAGATCGTCTCCAATATCCTTGTAGCGCTCCTTCTCCAGGACAAGGTCGTCTGTTCGTCGTAGTGATTGAAAAATCATAAAAGAACGCAAGAATAAAGAACACAAGTTAATAAAAATATATAAAACAAATACCAATTACACTCAAAGTGGGACAAAGACCTGACAAAAACTGACACCTGGTTGGAGGGGGGTTGGAGGACTAAATCTGCACAAATAAAACCATAATTACCTCCTGTTTGGGTTCAAAATAAATAAAAATGCAGCGCTGGAACTGCTTGGCAGCAGCATTGTTGTACGCATCGGCAAGGCAGTGCGCGTGGCTAGCTGTTAATTTTTGGAAATCAAAACGATAAACGGTAAACGGCAAAAAAATAAAATAAAGCAGTGGCTAAAGAGCGACTTTTGGTTTTTGCAATGCTTCGATTAAATGAAATTTTTAATTAAAAATGTATCCAAAAACGTGCTCAAAATTAGGTGTATAAAAGCAGGGCAGCATTTTGTAGCAGTTGTTGTGTCTTTGGTTTTGCGCAGCAGACTCTGTTGGGGACTAGCATCGGGGTCGCAATGGTCGGCTTAGGCTGGTGGTGCTTCGGCGGGAGCAGCCTCGGCGGCAGGGGCAGCCTCGGCAGCGGGTGCAGCTTCGGCGGCAGGTGCAGCCTCAGCAGCAGCAGGCGCAGCCTCAGCAGCAGGAGCAGCCTCGGCAGCGGGTGCAGCTCCCTCAGCCGCCGGAGCAGCTCCTTCGGCGGGGGCAGCTCCCTCAGCGGGCGGTGCTGCTCCATCGGCAGGTGGTGGGGCTGCACCCTCAGCCGGTGCGGCAGGTGCGGCTTCTCCCTCGGCCGGCGGGGCAGCGGCGGCAGCCTCTCCCTCGGCAGCTGGCACGGGCTCTGGCTCCGATCCCGGTGGTGGTGGCTCGTAGTTCTTGACATACGGGACCTCGGCACCCTCTGGGGGCAAATCGATCGAGTACTCGAATGGTGGCGGCGGTGGTGGTGGAGGAGTGGGCTCCTTGGGCGGTGGTGTTGGTATCTTGATGGGCACTGGCGGCTCTCCGGGTGCACCCTCGACGACCAGGGTCGCCGGATCGATGCCCGCAGCCAGGGCAGCAGCCACTGCCGCAGCCACACGCTCGGCCTGCTCGGCGGCCTCGGCTTCGGCCTTGGCCTCCGCCGCTGCTTTCGCTTCGGCAATGCGGGCCAGATCCTCCTCGGTGAGCTCGGGCGTGGGCGGCTTGGGATTACGCGGGTTCCAGAAGGGCTCCAGGCCCACAATCACATCCACGAAGGCTTCGTCGAGGCTGTCGTTGATCAGGCAGTAGCGTTCTTTCTCAACGATCGTGTCATCTGTCGCAGATGTCGATCGTCGTCGGCACGCGATGTGGTTTATGGTTTGTGAGAAAAGCAATACAAGCGATGGAGTAGTGCGAGATATCGATGGAGGACAGAGAGAGCGTCGAGAGAGAGAGAAAGCGTGGTGGAAAAATAAAGCGTGAAAAGGAGGCAGTAGAATCGAGAAAACTAAAAATTAAACTTCGATCAAGTTGTGTAATCAGTGGGGGGGAGTGGGAGGGAAGGCGGAGCGGAGCGGAGGAGGCGCACAGGAGGCAGGCGGTGCATGTTAGTGAGAGTCGGAAAGGAAAGACACATTGGCCAGTTCATTAACGGCGACGAGATCCTTCTAGAGATCCTTGATCTATTTTCATCACTATAGAGTACAAACAACATATCAGGGTTTGCTTATGGCTTCTTTAGGCAGGTGGTGCCTCAGCGGCAGGTGCTGCTTCGGCAGCGGCTGGTGGCGGTGGTGGTGCTTCGCCTGCTGGTGGAGCTGCGGCGGCCTCTCCTTCAGCAGGGGCTGCAACGGGTGGCGCTTCGCCTTCAGCTGGAGCTGCAGCGGGAGCAGCAGCCTCCCCTTCGGCTGGAGCTGCCGCAGGTGCAGCTTCCCCCTCAACGGGTGGAACAGCAGCAGCTTCTCCCTCGGGGGCACCCTCTACGGGGGGCAGCATATCGCCCGGCTCGGCATTCTTCACATACGGCACCTCAGCACCCTCTGGGGGCAAATCGATCGAGTACTCGAATGGTGGCGGCGGTGGTGGTGGAGGAGTGGGCTCCTTGGGCGGCGGTGTTGGTATCTTGATCGGCACTGGCTCCTCTCCGGCTGTTGCAGCCTCGACGAGGGCCGGATCCAAGGTGGCCGGATCCACGCCTGCAGCCAGTGCTTCAGCCAGAGCTGCAGCGGCCTGAGCCTTTGCCTCCGCGGCCTGCGCCTTGGCCTCCGCAACGGCCTGGGCCTTGGCCTCGGCCTCCGCAATGCGGGCCAGATCCTCCTCGGTAAGCTCGGGCGTTGGTGGTTTCGGGTAGCGATCGTTGTAGAAGGGCGGCATGCCCATCAACTCAACGAAGGTCCAGTCCAGGCTGTCGCCAATAAGGGCATAGTGCTCTTTCTCGACGATCGTCTCGTCTGGCAGTTGACCGATTGGTTGGGTGTGGTTCAGGTTCAGGTGTGGTTTAGTGGTTCATTGGTTAGTGGTTGGCGCGGGGCGGCATCAGCGAAAGTAGAAATTCGGATTAGAGCAGAGTCACAGAGTCAGAGATCGCGATCGAGGGAACCTTCAGTGGCCGATTGGGGGTTGCGGGGGGATCGACAGAGGAGGACACTCAACGATGGACGCTGGACGATGGCACGACGATTCTTGGGGTTAGTTCATACATTTTCTTGAAAAATACTTTATTTGTATTTGTTTTTGTATAGTATATGTGTATGTGTATGTGTATGCATAGGTATATTAAAATATAAATAATTAATTTATGTTTATCGTAAGTAAATCGAATTAAAAGTGTTTTTTTAATGCCATCCTTATTGTGGGGCCCCCAATTTCTACCCAGTTCGGATATGGGATATATGCAGAAGGATTTTTGTTTTTTTGTTTTTGTTGTTTTATTTTTCAAATAAAAGATAGGCGCAACCGGAAAATCGGCAAACGCAAATTGCAATTGGAATGGATGTGCGCTGGCTGTGTGTTTGTTGTCTCGCTTAAAAGTTGTTGTTTTTCTTTTTGTTAAATTTGTCGAAATAATTTTAATTGTAATTATAGTAGTGTGTGTGTGTGTTTTTGGGTGGTGGTGGTGGGGGGGTGTGTGTGCGTGTGGTAGGCGTGGCGGCAAACTTAAAAGTAGGCAAATATTACACAACGTTTTGCAAACACGACAATTTGTTTAAATAATGTATAAACAATGTATAAACATTAGCATATATGTATTGTAAATATTAATACAGTTAAGCGCTGGCGACAAAAATACAAAGTTTCTTTTTTAGCATATAGAATGTACTTCACTTTCTTTAAATATAAATAACAGCGTTTTGTTTGTCTCTCTATTTAAAATAAAAAATACACATAAACTAAGAAGAAGGCGGCAATGCATTTTGTTGTCTTGTCCAAGTTGTCATCTCGATTTGTCGATTTTAATCGTAATACACAAAACAAAACAATGTAAAAGGGTAAAATGGGTAAAAGGGGTAGCAAAAGCAAGTGTAAATTAATGAATAAAACATCTACGTTTATCTCTCGTTTGTCGAAACGAATAGGGGCATTAAATATTGCAACAGTGTTGTAAAGGCGATATCGATAAAATTTGATTGGAACGCTAGCTGCCAGTCACAGCGACGCGTGCGTGTGCGTGCGCGTCCTTTTTGGAATTTGAAAATTGGAATGCGCTTGCTACGGGAAGAATGTCTTGTTTTTTGCTTCTTTCGTGGTCATTATTTAACCCTAATAATTTTTAATTTTCTTTCGTTTTTTTTTTTGTTTGCTTTTGTTTTTCTCCAGAGTTCTTCGGAAAGATGGCGTTCACTCTGCAAATGGAAGACACTTGGCGTCCTGGGTGTCTTGTCTTGTCTCAAGTTATGCTTTTGAAAGGGGTGTAAATGTGTTTTGTTTTCCTTTTCTAGATTTAAATATGGAAATCGCCAGTTTTGTTGGGGGTGGTGGTGGCTGGTTGTGGTTGTGGTGTGTATATAGTTTTGACGTCAAAGCAGGCAGTTTAGTTAATTTACACAAGCAAATTAGATGGTTTTACATGTTCTGTATGTCATGTAAAGTGTTCTCCATTTCCTCCTGCAGCAGTTTGTTCTTTCCGCGCTCATTCAGCAAGTCATCTGTTCGTTTGTTTTGTTGTTGGGGATTGGACGGTGCATGCAGGCAGGTTTTACAACAAAATTTAGCGATCGAGCGAGCGAGCGAGGGTACAAGCAGCGCAAGTTGTATTGTTTTTGTTAAGCACAACATTAACAACAAATAATATATGAAAAATAAATAAAAAATACAAATAAATTAAGGAATGTTTTTTGGATAAACAGCAAATAAAAGGAAAGTAATATCTCAAGGTGTGGTACACTAAAACTTTCACTAAAGAACACAATTGGTACTGGATTTGGAATAAGGAAATTAATTTTGATCCTACTTATAAATAATAAAGAACTAACATATTTTATAAATTTCAAATTAACTAATATAATCGTTGTACTTTAATTTTTGAAATACTGCTACACAAGTTTTGGAAATATTCAACTGGTTTTTATTTCCGTGGCCAAGTTCTCTTAGAGCCTCAGTAAAATATTGATAAATTCTTTGACGGACATACCTTCGAGCCTGTCGACTTCCTTCTGCAATTTCTGAACGGAACGTTCAGCGAACTCAGCGCGAGCCTCAGCCTTTTGTTTGGGAAGGAGGGAAAATTAAAGTCATATATTAGTAAAAGGTTACAAATTCATTGGGGAGAAAAAAGCAACAAAAAGTGGCTTGCCGGCATGGATTAAAGGGTAACAGAAATATCCCTTTGATCTATCCCTGGCAGACGAATCAAATTCTGTGCCCCACACTGTCATTCACAGCGCAACGCAGACAGAAGTTTGCTTGAATTTAAAGCCAAGAAAGCTTCCCAAATAAGCTACCAAAACCAGCAGAAAAACTTACTTAACAAATGTAGATGAAGAAATGAACATTAGTCAAGATATAAGAAATGATTTGGTGAAATTAGTTGAACAATTTATAGAACTAAAAGTTAAACAAACATTTAATTAAACTTCATTCAGTTAACACTTAAAAAATCTCTCGGTTTTTATTCGACTAAAATGCTTACAAACTGTTGACGCTTTTGTACGAGTACTATTTAGGGTTTTTTAGACAAAACCTAAATCAGACAAATTAAATTATCATTAAGGGAAATTGATTACATTACTGGTAGAGGAGGCTACGCAGTCACTGCTTGGAAAAAAGAATAAGTGAAACTGAAAATGCTGTTAAGATTATTTAAATCTAGAAGAATCTCTAGAATATCTACGCTCATCGATTCATCGGTTCTTTCGGCGCGACTTACAGTTTCTACATTTAATTTGAACTGTATGAGCTCCTGTTCGTAATATTTCTGATTGACGCGTGCCTAGACGTCGGGAGAAATACAACAAATTATGGTATATAGTTTTTATAAAATAATAGATCAATTTCACGTACATTTTGGGTTTTCTGTGTGTGTGTGTCTGTGTTTGTGTTTTTTGGGGGGTATATAAAATATCTACCGAAATTAGATATCTTTTGTTTTGAATTAATTTTGATTTGCATTTAATTTGAGGCTACTAATCAGGCAGTAGAAATGTGTAAGAATAGTGTTGGAAAAACGTTCTCATTGGTGGAATTACAGTGTTGGGAAAACAGTGTTGCAAGACCATTGATGACTACTAACCAAGCAGTGGAGTGGAAGGAACCCTTCTACTTGCCGCCACCATCCAAGCAGTAGAAGGAGAACAGAGTGTTGCATAACCACGACTAGTGTTGTAAGTCAGTGACAATTAATCGAGTTGTGAGTGGTTCGGTTCTATTGATCATCAGTTACTACTACTACAACAAGCAGTAGAAAGCTGGAAGTATCAGTGCTGGAAAACACATTTTCCTTTGTTGCACAAAAAGTTGTTTTCAATTTTGAACAAATGTACACACACACGTCTTGCGAGAGGGATGACACGACAGAAATACTTGCCCATGGATGTACGCTATATCGTATATAGTAGTATAACGATATTGATCTATAATTTCTATAATTTTCATCATTTTATTTGCCATTTGTTGTATTTTTCCAAAGTGCTTTTTTTTGTTTATGGTTTTTTTTTTATAAAAAAGAAAATATTAAATGTCGAATTGACGAATATGTACAATAAATTTAAAATTGAGAATAACGATTTGTGCAATTCAATATTTTCTTTTTTTTTGTTTGTTTCTTTCAGTTTTAAGCTTAATCTTAGTCTAGAGTTAGTCTTAGTTTAAAAGCGGTTTCACCAACACCAAATATATTCAGATATATTTCGACTCTGCATAATACCTCTTTCAGAGAATGATCCAAGACCTTGATTTGCGTTTCAAAGGTCTCCTCTTTTTGTGTGGCCTGGCGTTCAGTGTTGGTAAGCGTTTATTAAAAGCAGTTTTTGTTCAACAGAAATTAATAAATGAAACAATATTCATGCAAGGAACGAATCAGTGGTCAGTGTTGGTAAACATCCAGCGGGTGCGCAAATTAGAGATTGTTTTTTTTTAGCAGCAACATTTAACAAAAAACAATAATATGAAACAAAGAAATAAAAGAAAATATAAATTAGTAAAGAATATCAATAAAATATATAAAATTGATTGATCTGTAAATATCATGTCGGTAGACATTTTATAAGAATTATTAGTACAACAACGAAATGAAAGATTCGAAAACTCTGCGCAGTACAAGAGTTCCTTCAGAAGATCTTTCTTTTTGGGAGGGGATTGGCTGTCTGAGGCACCCCTCCCTATAAACATTATATGGTATAAATCAAACAAAAACGAGAAACAACAACAAAAGAGATGTATATATATAGCCGCTGGTTTCGGGCACTCGTTTGGATCTGGGATCTGGGAAATCCTCTTTGCTTTTCGGCCACTTTTTGGTGCGAAGGCTTTTCTTCTTGCTTGATATCTACCTCCTTTAGACGAGTGTTCAGGGTCTTGATTTGGTTCTTGTATTCTTCCTCGCGTTGGTTGGCCTATTTTCGTTTTTTTTTTATATCGTTTTCGTTGTTGTTGTTGTACATTTCGGGGGGAGTTTTTTGAGTATTTCGGGAAGGGGGAAATTCAATATAAATATTTAAGAAAGTTTGATTTAAATGATTTTCATTAGGTATATTCCAAATGAGAGTAAATGTAAGCCATAAAGAGATACTGACCTTCTCCTCAGAGACTTCCAGGGACTTCAGGTTGTTACCAACCACGCGCAGCTCTTCCTCAAGCTCCACAATTTTGCTGTTGGACGAGAGACGGAATGTTTATTACAAAAATTTGACAAAACAACCAAGTGGCGGAAAAAGAGAAGAACAACTCATGCAATTGTTAAATATAAAGGTTTTCTTTTTGTGCGCGCAATTTATGCCAGACTCCAGCAGCAACACTTCACTTTCGAAAATAGTCTTGTGGCTGTCGCCTGTGTCTCCGACTGGAGGCGATCCACCGATGGATGGATGACCAAGAGATTCCGCAAAAAAGCGTCAAATCATGTTGCCAAGGTCTGGCAATATTTTTATAATCATAACAATTGTTTTTGGACCGGACCGACATCATCTCCAGACGTCGGATTTCACTTTTTTGGCATTTATTTATAAACTATGGAAATTATAAATAAATATTTGTCCATCGCTGGCATAGATTGCGCACAAAATGAAACCCAAGAAAAATGTGTATTATATTTAACGAAATGCAGTTAGTAAACAGAAACATCGAAGATAGATAGATAGTAGAGGCGCTGTGGCTGTGTGGGGCATTGGACAAACCTTTCGCTAAGCTCAACTTTTTCCTCGGAGCGCTCCAGATCTCCTTCCATGAGCACAAGTTTTCTGGCAACCTTCAGTCGTAGGCGTAGGGCGTAGCAGCAAGGCGGAATTCAAGGCAGCGCAAGGGCGTGGCAAGGTGTTAGCACGGGCATTGTATTAATGTACACACACAACGGCAACAAAGTGTATTTGTTTTTGGCATGGGTTAGGAAATGGCAATAGAAAAAAGTAATGTTTTCACAGATTAGTCAAGTGTCTGGCTTAAACGCTGGGGATGTTGGTACAAAAATGTGAATACTGTGTGCAGGATCATTCGTGATTCATGATACAAACAGCAATTGGGGCTTAAGAGGTGCAAATTTCTCATTTTCGCAGTGCCTTAAGAGAGAGAGAGAGCGAGAGGAAGCTTGAGAGCGCATGGATTGTGACGTATGAGTCGTAGTTGGGATGACACTCACGCAATCATGAGTTCTTACTCTCTGAGAACACAGAAGAGAGAGCGCTGCTTCTGCACTCACTGGAAAGCTCTTCAAAACACTGCTTACTTCTTAGGCACTGCTTAAACGAGGCTTAAACTGCTTCACAGGGAAGCAAGCAGGAAAATCTGAGCCTCTTTAGCCTTACTTTGCTCTTTTTGTTTGTTGTGCTTCGTTTTGTTTCTAAACTACGAAACATGCCTTTATTATACACAATATTAGATTCCAGTGGATAGAATATTCACATTTTCAAACCAAACAATATACAAAAACATTTATGCAAAAAGCTAGCTAGCTAAAAGAATAAACAATAACAAAAATCAAAATTTAAACTGAAAAATGTAAAAACGGGGAAATATGTATGTAATATGCAATAAACAGCTTTTGAGGTTAGGTTTGCGGCAACTTCAACATTGTTTTTCATTAAATATTAGAAACAGGAAACATTTTTGTAACATATTTAACGTTTATTTGGTATAAATTGAAACTTAAAACGTACTTTTCACCCTGTTCGGCACGTTCTTCGGCACGCTCCAAATCAGCTTCAACCATCGCCAATTTACGGGCAACCTTTTCTCATAGACAATTCATTTACAATTCAATTCGATTCGATTGATTGAGTGTTGGTTTGATATAATACAAGAAGTTTTGTATGGCATATACAGGATACACAGGAGAACATATAGAAAATGTATTAAATTTGATGTTTGGGTTTTACAAGTTTTTTTTTTTAGTTGAGAAAAACATAAAGCATTAGAATGATTTATTGGTTAGATTTGTATGTTCTGTGAATGTTTGAATGTATATGTTTTTGGTGTATCGCCTTAATGTCTAATTTAGTAATTAACAAAACAAATTGTTTAATTTTATTGTTATTTTGTTGTGTTTTCGGTTTTGTTTCCTATAAAACTTGTGCTTTACGAGTGTGTGTCTTTTATATTATACGATCCAATGGTTTACTAAAGTTATAGTTTGATATTGGAGATATTATATGGAAAAAAAGTATATCTGGTAGTGGATTCGATTTTGTTTATACCTTCTCGATGTTGTTGTACATTTCCTAGGGGATTTTTCGGATAGTTTTCCCTGTGAGTAAATTCCCAACAGTTGGGTATTTCCCTTCCCCCTAAAAACAGTTCTTTCACTGTATTTTTCTTGGGTTAACCTTTGCCAAGGGAAATTAAATTCAAAATCTTTCAGATATCATAGCTTAAAGCAATTTCCTGAAACATCACCCCCCACATCCCATAATCATAACTATGAAAACTCATTTATTTAAAGGAAATAATAACTGGCTGAAGCTGAACATTACAACAGCTTTATTTGGCAGCCTTTTGGCCAAAAGATGCTTCTTTTGAGAAAGGCGGAAATCGTTTAACCAATCTGGGGGCTATTTGCCAACAAAATCAGCCAATTTCCTGCTTTGACGTATGCAAATATGTAGTCTCCAGAGGTAAGTGAGGGATCCACCAAATGAACCGTGAATCATGAAAAAGTAAATGCAAGGTAACTACTAAAAAGTGTCGTCAGATTTTTAAACAGAAAAAGATACGATGTGGAGAGGGCGATCCACGCACATTTCTTGCCGTTGATTCACTCTTTTGAGTGGCCACTCTCTCTCTCTCTCGCCCCTTCAGAGCGAGGGTCAAGTGGTGCAGCATTACGTTTTGGATTCATCATCGATCGTTTTGGCAACAGTTACAGAGGGTTTTTAGCCGCTTATGTCATGGGGCCTCAATGGGCTGCTGTCGAGCACAATCCCCCCATATTTGGGGAGCGGCCTTCTCTTATCAAAGTTTTCAGTTAAACAAACTCTTTCGCTCTCTCTTTGCCAGTTCTTCTTTGCCTTAGTTTTCCGGCGAAAGATAAGGGCAAAAAGTGAGGACGCAGACACGGGGCTTATCTGCAGGCAATGGCCGTGTATCAGTTAACAATTGCTTTATTTCATCGATTTCTGGCGACTGACGTGCGAAACACGTAAGCAAAAAAACACAAGAGGGTTCTCCTTGAGAATGGAGAGAAAAAAATATTCTTTGTTGCCAAGGATTACTGAAGATTAGCGAAGGATCGTTTGAAGAAGTATTGGAATGTTTTGTAGGGCAGAACCTTCTGGATTTTTCAAGGCCTGAAGATAAGGTCCATGCAGAATGATCAGACATATATTTCTCGAAGAATAATTGAATAGAAGGATTTTGCCATGCAAAGATTTAAATTTACAAGAATCTCTCTTGTAACTCTTGAAAAATCATCGAAGAAGAATCTTGACAATAAGTACAAAGATTCCATACGCATATTCCTGGCAATCCATAGATAAAACGTATCCTCTTTCAGTATATATGTCGATTGAATCGTTTAATACAGTTCCATATATATTTTTGGCACCCTGGAACTCCCTTCGTCCTCTTCAATTTCCTGTAAAATTAAGCTTGTTCAAGCTCTCCTTTAAAGCAAATAGAGTTCCTGTAAAATCATATCATAGCTGCATAGTTCCATAAGCAATTATCTGTAATATTTGTTTCAAAAAAAGTCTCCTAAATAATCGTTTAAATCCTTACTTCAAATTCTGTTTCAGCTGCAGAGATTTCCCACTTCTAAATTTCATCTATATCATATTTCACCCCTAAACCTTCATCTTTCAGTGGCCAAAACCTGCCTCAAGAAAATGTACAACAAATCGTAAGAATAAAACATTATCTGCTCCCAAAAAAGTTCAAAAGTTAGTTTTTTATGCTGCATTCATATATGTATTTTATAATATATATATTTTGTTGTATTTGTATATAATTGTTATATAAACTTTAAATTTGCAAAAATATTAAATCAAAAATTATTAAAGGAAATATTAATTGTTTTTTTTTGGGTGGTTTTTTTTTTAGTAATTTATATAATAATATAATTTTGAAATAAAATTAAATAATCTTTACAATTGTTGCTTTTTGCAATAGAAATATAAATCAAATGACAATTTTGTATAATTGAAATAAACATCAAAATATATGCTTTTTAAGCTCCAATATCATTATTTTAGAGAACACTTTTTTGTGTATAAATCTCTAGTACAGGGACGATAGCAAAAGTACACTTGGATCGCTTAACATTTAACATAATTTACAAAATAAAAGACACACTTGTGGGCGGCACTCCCCGTCGGGAGGAGCGATGATATTAGGCTTCATCATTTGTTCATCAAACATCTCATTGGATTGTATGTACATCGACTAATACACATATTTATATTGCATATATATTGTGAGGCAACGGGCAGGCAGGCGTTGCATGCCTTGGATTCCTATAGCTATAGCTGCCCTTCAAGCATCATTCGTTCATCATCGTCATCATTGAATCGATTTTTTAAGCACAAGTTTTACATCTACACTCGATAGTTGATTCCTGTGCCAAGTATTATGGGGCAGACAGAACCCCCTCCTTGAAAGGGGTTCACGTTCCTTTTATTTTGGTTTTTCTTTCGATCCTTTGGCAAAGGAACCAAAAATCAAGTATCATTGTTTGGTGGTGGACTGTTGTTGTTGTTGTTGTTGTTGTGTTCATGGTCGTGGCTGGGACTTGTGGAGGATAAAGTGGAAGTGATCTTCGCTTCACCAACAGCAGCAGATGCAATAGTTCTGGATGCGTTATTGTTGTTGGTGCTATTGTTATTAGCATTAGCATTGGTATCGATAGTATTGTTACTGTTACTGTTGTTGTTCTGGTTGTTGTTGTTGTTATTATTATTATTGCTTATTAAATTAGAAATAGAAGATAAATTGGTTTTTAGCTGCACCTCATCGTATTTCTTGTCAGCCTCCTCAGCAAGGAAACGCGCTTCCTTCAGCTGATTCTCGAGAGCGTCCATGCGTTCTTCATCGGCAAGGGCGCGATTCTCAAGAATCTTGCGAGCACTATATATATTTTTTATTGAATATACATATATATATATATATAGTCCACATTGTTGTGTGTGTTTTGCGGTTACGACGGCGACCAAGCCCATAGAAGACAGTGACCAAGTGGTTAGCGATGATTTAAGTTTTTTTTTTTCATTCATTCCGCCATTGGAAGAATCGCATTTTTTTTTGGTACAGCCCCAAAGGATAGATAGAAGAGTGTGAATCGAATCATTCGACGTCATCATCCACATCGTTGGGTGTTCGATAGTGTTGTTGTTGTTGTTAAACGTTAAAGTTGTTGTTGTAGTTGGTTGTTGGTGGTTTGTTGTTGTTGTTGTTGTTATGACAAACAGATGGTTTACAACACAGTTGAGGTTCACAGATAGATAGATAGATAGATTGATTGATTTTTGTTTGTTTTAAATGGATTGTTGATGTCGTGGTTCAGTTATAGTTGTTGTTTTGTTGTTGTAGTTGTTGTAAAAAGAGAGACAAAAATTTGGTTGTTGCCAGTTGAGTTTTAAAGTTTCGGATATTTAACAGGGGATAACATAGGGGCAGGAGTACATGAAGAAGCTAAAACAATGGTGTGCTTTTTTGGGGAAATTTTTAATAGAAAGATAAATCGATTTTACGAGGGAATGATTGGAATGAAAGCAAAAAATATCATCCACAAATGTGGTAAATGTTGCTAATGGAACTACTGGTATTTTAAGCTCTAACGGACTGGTCTAGATCATCCGATATTGATCCAGATCAAGAACTTGGAAAGTTTGAAAGTGTTTGAATGTCATAAATCATTGTTTTAGCTTCTCTAAACACACATTACAAACATTCGTGGGGGGAGGGGGGTGCTTTTTGTACAGACATAATTGTTTAAACAGCCATTTTGACTAATAGACTACCATAAAGCTTATGTAGGACATGCCTTTGTCCATAAATTTTACAATATTTATACAAAATCATCCATAGAGCAGCTGCAGCAGTTCCAACGGTGGGTCGACGACAACTAAATGCTGTTTACAAAAACGTTTCTTAAGAACTAACTTAGATACATATATCATCATCATTATTGTTATTATAATGATTCATATTAATTGTTGTTAAAGAGAGCGCAGATATATAGACCCAAAACCTAATTAGTAAACGCAAAAATGTTGACCTAAAGTGAAAACAGAACCTAGAACCTAACCTCAATGGAAAACCTAATAACCCTAAAGCCCTAACGAAAAGATACAGAGAGAGCATAGAAGACTCTCTTCCGTGGATAGATGGTTGGATATGATGACTATACCTCTTCGTATTTCTTATCGGCTTCTTCTGCAATTAATTTTGCTTGTGCTAATTGGTTCTCCAAGAGAGCCACTTTGTCATCTTCCATATTTGTGCGATTCTCAAGCGCTTTTCGTATCCTAAATGCATCATATTATAATAGATATATATGTGGATAGGATAAATATAACTTGAACTTGGATATTTTATGCTGTAAACTTATAAATTATTATAATTATACATCATATATCATATATAGAGGGGGGGATGGGGGAATAGGATAGGGATATGGATATATGGTAACAAATGTACTAACCGTTCGCTCTCATCGGCGGCCTGAGAGGCTTCCGACAGCTTGGCTGTGGCGGAACCCAGACGCTCCTCAGAGCGCTCCAAGTCTTCTTCGAGCAACTGAATGCGACGGTTCAGAGCAGCAACCTCAGATTCGGCCTATAAGACAATATACATGTTCGTACGAACCAAATATAGCATATACATACAACAAAGCATTTATTAGCTATAAACTTATCAAGTAATTTACTTCTTACAAAGCTAAACTTAGGAAATTGGATATTAAATAGACTATTAAATTTATGCTGGTTTTGGTTCTGCTTTTGTTTAAGAAATACACATAAATTGCTATTCAAATCGTTGCCATCTTTGGTATGGTAAATAGCTACAAGAAATACACATAAATTCTATACAGAAAACTTTGCTATCTTTGGTATGGTAAATCCTGTTTTTTGCGCTCTCTTTTTAAGCCTAAGAAACCCAATTTGTTGCACTCTTTAAATTAGTTTATTTGCCCTAAAAGTCGACCGGTGTTTCCACATTTTGTCTTCCACCTGTAAATAGAAATTTCATTCTTTTTCCGTTTTCCGTCTTGCGTCTTCCGCTGTCTTCTGGCATGTTGCAAGGTCAAACCCAGTGCCGACGCCCTAAAGCAGGCAAAACAAAATTTGTTTGGCCAAAAGTAATCAATACCCAGGTGTCAAGCGAAGTTCAACAGCACACCGATGAAACCGATATGTTGGTCCAAAAGAAGCCAATTCAAGCCTCAGGCCCTGACGTCATCCTATGGAAAATATTGATGGGAGTTTTTCCCACAATGCGCAAGACGACACGACTCGAAATTATATACCCATTAAAGAACGGAAAATATTCGACATTGAAAAAGTTGTGGCCATATAGAGGAGTTTTGGTTCGAACGATGAAAAGCGAAAATGTGAGCAGCCGAGCACACGCCCAAAAATGGTGAAAAAAGTATAAAAACAAAAACAACAGAAATATCAAGCAAAAGCAACAAACTTTTTGATCAAAAACGGCAAGAGCAATTGGACAAGGCAGTCCAGTCCCCATGTCCATGTCCATGTCCAATGTGACTGATATGGTCGGACATAGATAGAGAGCTACTGATATGTACATGCCGTAATGATGGAATGACTGAATGACCAATTGACTGATTGGATGACGCTTAGAACCCCTCGCGCTCTCTCTCTCTCTCTCTCTCTCCCTCTTCCTCTCTCACGAGTCGTAAAAGTATCGTGTGATTATGAATTGGAACCAACCGTGTTGTGTTGGCTTACGTCATCATCCCAAACAGCGGCAGCATACAAAACACACATACACACACACACACACACACACACACATGTACGTTAAACGATAAAAAGCATTTCGAATTGGGGGAGCTTGAGCAGGCAGAGCGCGTAGCTTTCCAAACACCGAAAGTCATACAACAAACCGTTGATGAAGCACCCAAGAGGAGAGGAGAGGAGAGCGTCCCCGCCACAGAGACATCGAAAAATGCCAAAAACAACAAAACCACCAGAAATGAAGGAAGGAAAACATCGAAAAAGCACAGTAAAGTACTGGCTAAACGAGGCTTCTTGATTGCTCGATCATCATTCAGTGAAGAGCTTTCTTGGGCAAAATGAGTGCATAGGCATTTCTGCAAATCAGCTGCTGTCTCGTTTAGCCAGTGCTTACAAAGTCAACTCCAGTTGGGTTTCGTTTTGTAGCGGGAGTTGTTGGCAGCAGCCATGGGCGCGAAAGAGAAGAGATTGCACACAGTTGGGAGTTGGATAGAGAGAGAGAGAGCAAGCTGTTGTGGCCGTCTCGCTATCCCCCTCTATTTTTGAACTCATTAACAAAATGTATTGAAGATTAAGCGCTTTATTAACAGCAACAAAAAGAGAAGTAGAAGAAGAATAAGAGGCCAAAGAAAAGCGGGAGACAGAACAAGTTTTCGAGTTGGAGAGCAGTGGCCCCGGCCCCCATTGTTGTGGAATTTATGAGAAATGACCGGCAAAATGCAAAAAAATAAAATAAAGTAAAATACAAAACAACAAAAATAACCGATCTTAGCCAAATTCAAAAGCCATGAGCATGCAAAACCAGCTACGGGGCTGAGAAATGGTACACGCCAATGAATTTTTGACGGCTTAGTCACACACACACCTTGGAATCGGGGAGTATTCCATTTGTTTTAGTTTTATTTTCAGAAATTGCCTTGGCAACGATATATAAAACAATAAAAATTTTGTAGAGCGCTGCGCAGGGCGTGTGCGTATGCCAGTGTGTGTGTATCCATTTTGATGATGCATTTTTAATTATGAACCGATAAAGTAACGCCATGAAAATGTAAATCACCAAGAAAAACGGTTAAAGACGATGGACGCTCTCTCAGGCATGAAGTGGTTTTTTCGGTGGCGATCGTGAGAGGGTGTGTGCTTGCTTTGCTTCTCTCTTGATACCCCAGTCAGCCCATGGCATCATGTGTTGTAATCTCTAAATTACGGAATACACACACACACACAGACATGCAGTGACTAGGGGCAGGGGGTAGGGAGCATGAATCAAAACCAATTTGTCACAAAAGCGCATTGAAATTATCAACGTTCAATTGCAGGACAGAGGGACACACAAAAGAGGGGAGAAAGGAAGACTGCGCAAGGAGGGAAACACCAGATGAGAGGGAGGGCGACTCGTTCTGCCATCGAATGACATTGAAAAGCATTCATTGTATAGAAAAGCAACAACAAAAGCAAATTATGTTTTTGTTTTACATTTCAGAAAGGGGAAACCAAACGTCAATCACTTGCTGGCAGCGTGGAAGCGAAAAGTGAACAAATGGCTCCCCCCCGAAGGCAATTGTATTGGTTTTAAAATTCATCCAAAAGTTCCTGGAACACAGTCCTAAGCCGCCAAAAAACATGACGTCAACAAATGCTGTCACACTCTCTGTGATTTCGTACACACACACACACCCACTTATACGGGTACCAAGGAGCCCTACAGAAATTGCTTGCGGCATTTGCTCTCTCAATTGTCTAATTAGAATCGAATTAAGAACAAAATGAAAAAAAAAGAATTAAGAGAATCCAACCATTTATTGATCATAATTAATCGAATTTAGAACACCGCTAGCTAAACGATGTGGCTGCCACTTTGCGGCTGCTGCCGTTGCTGCTTCTTCAGCTTTGAGCCGGTTTTTATTTTTTTGTCGCTGAGAAAGCAAAAGATTTCTTTTCTCTTCTTTTTTTTTGCCTTATGTAAATGCGTGTCAGTGTCAGTGTGTGTGGTTGTGAGGTGTATGCTAATGTTGCGCTATGTGCCGTGAAGCGAGAGAGATAACATACAATTTGAAAGGTGAATGAATTTCGTCTCACAGATAACAACAGTTAACCCCAAAACGAAAAAAAGTGACACAATAAGGAACAAGAGGAAGAACAATAGTGGTGCTGCACGGACACGAACCACCCTGTGTCTCAACAATTCAATTTGCCTAAAATTTCTTTCAAAAGAGTAACAACAAAAGGCAGGGGGGAAAACAACAACAGAATCAACGGGAGAGGCCAGAACCAAAAAGTCGCTCTCTGGAACTCATGCGAGCGAGAAGCCTGTCGCGACACTTGCGGTTATCTCGCTCCCACAAGTACACACACACACACAGGGGAGAGCTCTCGTCTCTCTCTTGCTCTGAGAGAGTGTGTGAGAGAAATGGTTAACTATCTTTTTTCCACAGGTAGGATTTATGCAAAATTTATAAGACAGGTCACGCAGTATTTAAACCATACCAAAGATAGCTAAATTTCCACTAAAATCAGTAGAACTAATAGGGAAATGGAAGGCTGGCTTACTTCTTCGCGGCGAACCACTTCGAGTTGCAAGCGCTTTTGGTACTCCTCGCACTCATCTTTATACTTTTCCATTTCTTCTTTGGTCTGACGCATTTTCTTCTTGAGCACGTCCAGGAGAGTGCCTTGTGGAATGCTGGTCGTCATTTTTAGTTTGGTTGTAGGTGTTTCGTTTGGACACTTGGACTTTGCGTTGGCAGGGAAGCCGGGCACTGAAGCACACTTGATATTGGCCTTTTTCGCCTTTTACTGTTATAATTTCAACAGTTGCTTTCTGGTGGTATGGCAGCACCAAAAATATATAATTTTACAATTTGAAGAACACACACCAACACACGCACGGAGAATGGAACGAACACTCACACACACGCAATGAAGAAAAAACCACCGGTTTTTTCTTCTTTCTCTTCGACTGCTTTTTCTCTCGCTTGCGATGGCTTTCAAGGCAGCGTTAGCTGGTTTTAGGGACTTTAACTGGCACACAATATAGTAGTAGAATAAATAACGAATAAATATTTAATATTTGCTATTTGGTAGCGAAAAACACACACAAGTCGACGACACACAAAACAGAGAAGACCGACGCGACTCGAACAACAAATTGGAAATGATCCGTTAAACAGTTGGCATGCCTTTCGAAGCGGTGGTGGGGTTTGACAGTGGTGGTGTGCGACAGAGACAACTGGTGTGTCGAGGAGAAGAACGAGAGAACGATGACATTCATTGAGTGGGAAAAAGGCGCTCAAGTCGGAGTTGGATTCGAGTTGCGTTGGTTTTGAGCGCGATTGTGTTTTGTATGGGAAAATCACTCAATCAAACGAGTAATCACTCTCTCGGCTGAATTGGAGTGAACGAACGAGACAAAAAAGAACTAGAAGAACGACTTAGTTCACTTACGAATGAACCAGTAAGATGGAAAAGAGAGGAAACCACCACGTTTGGGAGAGCGAAAATGCATGAGTCGAGCGCGCCGTTGGCAGCGCTGCTGACATGCCTTTTGAAGCGATGAGAACATTGGTGTGACAGAGATAACTGGTGCGTCGTCTGCCTCGCCTAAAATGTATGCTGGTGTGTGCTCAAGAGCGGAGCGACTTTGTGTGTGTTGGTGTGCCGCTGGAAAACCTGTTAAAAGCCGCTAAAATTCTGTCGACATGTTTGTTGTTGTTTGGCATTAATTAGTGAAGAAATATTTCAGATTTTTTCTATTTCTATGCAAATAATATTATGCAAAATAATGCCCATGTCAAAGACAATCTCCATTTAGGCTCGAAATGAGTAATCAGGTAGTACTCTCTAGCTGCACACATGCAG